TTTAGGGAAGTTACATTTTAGCGCCGACCTTTTGAGACCTAAATTTAGCTACGGCAACCTTCCACTAAATTATGATGGACAGGTAACTATGAACGAAAGGCTTTGAACTCGGAGGTGCGACTTTGACCTTTTAGACAGGAAATTTTATGAATTCTATCCGTCAGACACAATAGATTTGCATTAAGGTAGGCGGTTAAGATTTTGAAATAAATTAAGCATATATAATCTCGGATATTAGCTTTAAATAAAAAATAATAATAAAACAACCAATAAACCAAAACCGTGACGTAAAATCACTTGATAAAAAACACGTGCAAAGCTTAGAGTCAAAAATCAATTGGTAGTGAATCTCTCGCTAAACTATTGGTCACCCCATACCAATGGATGGTAAATTTCTATTAAATACTGTTTAATCTAATTATATTTGTATCCAATCTCTTGTCTTAGATAGTTACTAATGAACCGTAGAACACAATAATGAGTCCACACAAAGAAACGTGTAGAGAAGCGAGGTGTCTTGAATGAGGGACGTATCCTGCTCGAAGGACCATTTATGGCGAGACCAGTGCATCAAGCCCCACGTTTAACCGGTACTATTGACTTACTTTCCGGCACTCAGACGAGTAGCCCGATAACTAACAAAGTGGGGCTTTTCTAATAATTTGCTAGATTAAAAAGCCCTTTTAAAGGCCTGGTAAAGGTACTGGTAAAAGTTTTGTGTCTATTTCGTTGAAAACAATTGCATTTTCTCTAATTTTTTTCTTAATAAGAAAATTTACGCATTATCTCTACAACCAGTTTGTTGTTCCAGTTTGAACAGCACAAACGCCGTTCCGGGCTCTCTATGACCTACATAATGCGAAATACCACAGCTTTGATAGGAGTATTTCTGTATAACAAATGTTTTCAAAATACAATGCACAAAAGCAATGTTTACCAAACACAAAAAATGTCCTAATTTTAAAACTTTTTCTCTCATTTATCATTATCGTGACATTTGGAAAAACACCATTCGATATCTGAGATAGATTTTGGATTCTCTTAGTATAAAAAACAAAACTATGAACATGAACATGTATCAACACAATATTCAACTACATTTGTAGCATTTTCAACTCTGTGTCACAAATTAATTCAAACAGTGTTACCATAATTTAGTATCCGAATAAATACATTTGCGATTTGATAACCAGAAAACATAGTATATTATAATGACAATTCTGAACAACTAAAACACCACTCAAAACTGTATAATAAGCCGGGAACCGGAATTTCCTTCATATTTTTTCCCTCAGGAGCTCGTTCAGGAAGCACTTTGGCTCCGTACCAAATGCATTTCGCAATTATACTTTACGTTTCGCAGTAAAAATATGATTCGAATTTCATAAATATTCACCGTAATAATAATGTCTCTGAGAATTCAATTTGACATTTATTTATTACAGTAACGGATAATATGCTCTTAATACTTAACGAGCTTTTATCGTAAATTTATGTGCACTTTTTTTTTAAATACAGCCAGTGTAAACTTTATAAACGGTTTGATAATATCAAACACTATTAATATTATGTGTTCAATTACTACTACAAGAAAATACTTTCGCAAAGGAACAGGCCCTGATGAAGGTGGTCTTAAAAAATTGGTTATAGCTAAACAATGGTTAATTGAGAATCAAAGCGAGATCACATCATCAATATTTTAACCACTGAGCCATCTAGTATATCAGATCATGCTATATATAGGAGTAGATCATGCGTAGTTGAGGCATGCGTTACGCCTGATTCATTTAATAGCAACGCGCCGATCACTAACCCATTTATCCCTTAGCAACCAATTTCACAACGATTTAGCAGAGTTTACAATCACGGTATTTATAGTGGCTCTGGAATTAGATGGTGCGGTTGGGGCCCCTGGTGTTTTTATACCATAGTTACCGATTAACATTACCCGGCCAAATGTTCGCTTACATGATTCAATGGTCCAAACATAGGGTGTTCACCTTTATACATTACGCATTCGTCTATTTGATGTTGAGATGAAACTGTTTTAAATTTAACTATTGTTTTATCATTTCTAGACATTCCAACAAAATTTGTGTTAGTTGTAAGTAGAATTAAACAGCGGATAAAATTACCACCACACATATTTCACACAGCAATTGCGTTATATTCAGTATGCGGTTAAAAGATACCAATTTTACCCTTACAATACCTATCTTTAATAACGACTAATATTGCAAATCTTTTTATTGAAACATTCCTTATTACGATGCTTCCTAGGATACTCGAATATTAAAATCAATAAGCAAAATTATCAATTTCCATCTAGTCGTCAGTTCATACCTCGTAGTCGACCTTCTAGCAATTAATTACGTCAAAATTAAAAGTAGCAGTTACACAAAGGTTTATTGGTGTCACACACACACATAAATCAAAGGTATTTGTGTCAGCTCAATTGGCAGTCAGCACAAATTCCTACAGGACCTTGAGTCGCGTCCTCGACCCCTCATTGTCGGTGTCATCAGGATGACATCAGCTACATGCACTGCTTGATACGGCGTCAGCGTACATTTGGTGACGTCATTAATACACTGAGCCTTCCTGATTAACTAACCTGCTGACAGTATCAAAGGCAATATGGTTATAATAAACCTTTAATTCATGAATCATATGGTCAGAATACACAATAATCAATGTCATAAATAAATAACACAACATTACATAACATAACATAATATTAATCACAACTCTAGCATCTTTTTGACGATAATCTAGTTAAGGAAAGTTTTTATAAATGCAACAGCCACCTGCATACACTGAAATAGCAAATCAACGACTGCCTAGAGACATACACAATTGCAAATCTGTTGCCTATCTTTATTTGCCAGGACAGTTGAAGTACAGAAAAAGGATATACATATCCCCTTTCTATCCATCTCCTTCTCAGTCAAATACCCCACCCACCCTTTCCTTATAAGAAAAGGATGGAAATGGTTAACAATTAAGTCCAAGCAATGGCTGGACACTCATGTAAGTTTGTAACATACATGTGCAAGTGCAATCAAGTAAAATTCAGGAGGATGTATTTTAAATTAATCTTATTTCATTTATTATACGCAGCACAGCTTTACAGTACAACTAATCATCAAGACTAAGGCGTGCATTGAATTAAAAAAAAAATCTAAAATATTTTTTCAGCAGGGTAACAATCTGTTTGCGTGTTGCAGAGCATGCATACTGCTATAAACAACAGAGTTGAAAGATTGTTTTTAAATTTATGTTAATGTGCTTTATACATATTAAAATATCATAACACAGTGTTTTACTTAGCTTATCTTCGCTAGTATTAAATATAAACAATTACTTTAAATAAAAACAATAAGATTTATTACTATTTCAACCAAAGCGGAACAGATGTGCATAATTAAATATACATACTTACTAAATTCAACTGTTTATTAGCCAATTAATATTCTACATGCACATGAATTACAGCAACTTTGCTGCAAAGATTATTAGACATCTATAAATGCGGACAGAAATATAATTTCGACATACCTAATTATGATAGCTTTCAGTTGTTTAATTTTTTTTAAGACAATAAGATTGCTTTTCATAGTTAGTAGCATCTAAACATAATTTTCATGCTAGCAGGAAATTAACATAAGGCACTATATTACTAATTTTACAACTATTAATAACAATAATTGTCAGGCCACAAAAAGTAATTAAAAATTTAAATAGGAACTAATGAGTTAGAACAAATAAAATTGCGACATCTGTTTGCAGAATGAGGATAAACTCCAAAAATTATGTAACATCTGACATATGCTAGCCAGATTTCAAATACAGTTGAACATGGATAAGTGAGAATCCAAGGGTCTGCAATATTTTTCTCGCTTATAGAAGTTTCTTGTTTATCAAGGTTTGACTGTACTATGTGACCATTAAATTACCAGTGCAGTAAAAACAATAAAGGGATGCAATATCTTACTAATGTTGATGTTTGTTTAAAGCTATCTCCAGACAGCTGAATGAATCTGGCTGAAATTTGGCACTGATGACATAGTGTGGAAGAATACAAAGGCTACTAATTAAGCTTTTTTGTTATTCCACATTGATGGGGTGCATCCGACAGTCAGTTTTATTAGACATATGTTGCAACAATGGAAACAGTAAATAAATAACATATTAAATTCTGACATATATTCAATGAGGTGTACCACAGAATTTGATTATATAAATTAGTGACAAACAGTAATAACAAATGTTTCATCTAATTATTTTTTTAATTATTAATAAGATACCACATACACCAGTATTGTTAATTTCTGGAACTATTAATTAGAATGCAAAGTAATGAGTGTACCTATTAATTACTTAATTATCTATTAATCTTGTTTTATAAACTTGTTTTTAAACTGCCTATGTTTGCAATTTTTTACATATTTTGTCATAGATTATTACTAATTAGAAGTCACAGTGAATAAATGTTTTAAATAAAATTAAGACTAAAAAAATAACTATAATAAATCTAAAATAACCGCTCAATTATCCATACAAAAATATAGGTCACAGTTTTTAACTAACATTAAACTATTTCACCTGAAACTTTCAGAAAACTAGAATCATAAAGTTAATTAAATATGTGTTCAAGATGCGAGGCTTAAATAAGGCAATATTATAATATTAACCATAAAAGTTTAGCGTTCGTGACCATACGTGCCAAGTGGCCCAGGTTTATCAAAAGTGGGACGGCCATCGCCGCGCCCAAGCCTCGCCTCACCTCTAACTCACACCGAGCACATTCCAATAGGAAAAAAAAACACGTAACGAAATAAACAATACGTATCGTCGTACACTTGGTATTTATAGCGATAAAAACAAGATAAGAACACAACATTTATCAATGCAAAACATTATTGTTTCGCCGGAAAAGACTCATGTATGCAAATTACTATTTCAAATAGTAACGTAATTCCTATACTCAGTGTACTGACCTGGTTAGCAACAAGATCCCATAAAGAAGAATTCAAAGACTCGTAGTTTTCGAAAACAGCACAACGTCGTGTTTTTAGCACGTAAACATGGGTTTCAGTTCACAATATTGTAATTGATAAAACTCGATGAACACACACCATGTATCCACATCAAATGCACTACATTCACAAGCAATTCGATATTATGTATTTAGTTTCTGTTATAAAACCATGCACCGAATAAAGCGATGATTATTTTTATTCATCACACGGCGAAACCATCCGACACAAGTGCAACTTGCGTTACCCATTCGACGAAACTACTACTTGCGGGGAGCGGGCGGGGAGAGCGCGCGGCCGCGTCATCCGCCATATTGGTTGATTACGTCATCCCGAGATAACGTTACAAAATACTCGTGCAAAATAAACGAAGAATTCGCGTATAATCTGTGTGCATAACATTTCAAATTATGATTTTCTTACGATTTTTTTGGCCCTCGTATATTTAGCTCAATAATTTTTAAAAGCTTTTAATTTTATTACCTAATTTAAAGGATTTTGTACAAATTAATTAACTGTGCTATAATCTATATAGGAGTCATGTCAATGTCAAAATTTCTGTCTGGTCGAACCAAATTATCAATCTGTCAATTTCGTGTTATTAAAAGTTAAATTGATTTGGTACAAATTAAATTAAATAATCTTATTTATAGTAGATCAACCGTAATTCAGCTTATTTCCAGTTATTGTTAATATTCCTGCAATTTGTGCAATACGGTGAAGATTTAAACATGCAAGGTAAATATGCAAGATGGCAAACAACTGAATCATCGATTGTTTTTGTTTCCTTACAACATTTTCCTTGTATAATTTCTTTGTTAAAATGATTGTATATTGCAGATACTAGACCAGAACTTTACGAAGAAGTTAAACTCTACAGAAATGCTAGAGAACGTGAAAAGTAAGTAAGCCGTAACGATTATGAAAAATCATGAAAAATGACTATGTCCTTTATCAAACTTTTTTATTTAACCACTATGATCAGTAAATGAATGTCCCTAATATAGGTTTAGAATAAATGACTTGTATAATTATCTATCCATCAATATCCACTAACAAAGACCATTTTCCAGGCATGATAATATGGCAGAGTTATATGCTGTTGTAAGCACATTGCAGCATTTAGAAAAAGCATACATGAGGGACTGTGTGCGCGCTCAAGAGTACATGGCTGCCTGCAGTAGACTGCTTGTGCAGTATAGAGTGGCCTTCAAACAGGTGCAGGGAGATGAGTTTCCCACTATAGAAGCTTTTGTTACTAAGTTTCGGGTAAATAGACTTAATCTTACTAATAACAAAGTAATTTTTATACTGTAATCTGAAATAGTCAAGAAAGAGTATAAGTATCAATCTGCAGCTTATTGTATTTATTGTGTGTTATTTGCACAAACTAATTGGTCTTGGGTTAGCAAAAGTTCCAAACCACAATCATTTTCTTGCTTAAAGAGGTGTCTCTACTATAGTTACTCGTTTAATTGTCAGGATCAGACAGTGTTTTCTGGCTTTTAGGCTTTTAGTAGTATTTCAACTGTATTTTAATTTTGTTACAAAAATATCATTTTAAAATGTTTCATTCCATTTTTGTAATATTTGTTAATTAATTATTTATAAATCAATTCACAGCTGGACTGTCCAGCAGCGTTGGAGAGGATACGTGAGAACAGACCAAATCTTATCAAAGATGACAAAGGCAACACAAATAAATACATTGCTGAGATTGTGTCTGTAAGTCAACTCTTGATTTACTAACTTTATGTCCCATGATTCTATATGCGAAAAAAGTGTGTAATCATATTGTATCTAGAAATTATAACATGTTTTATGTTTACCTCCTATGGGTAGGCAGAGACCCCTTCATGTCACAACTCTCAACTCTTCTACATTCATACAAACATAGTCCACTTTTCATATAAAAAAAAATTACATTCAATAATGAACAATAGAACACTATTAAAAATCTGCTATGTCAGCAACCTAAATATTATTTTATTGTGTAATATAAATTATACACAGCTGTAGAAGTTTATAAATATAATTGCAGTTATTCATAACTTTGATGGACAAGTTACGTCTGGAGTTACGCGCCATGGACATGATCCAGCCGGAGCTGAGAGACTTGAAGGACACAATGGATCATCTCAGCATGCTGCCCGAGGACTTTGAAGGCAAACTCAAGGTAGCTTTTATGAATTACTAGATCAATGCTTACACTTATTATGCACTTCTACAACTTTGGAACGCCAGTAGCCTAATGGTTTTGCGTATGGATTTCCGATCAGGTTCCAAGAGTTCGAATCCCACCATTTGACTATTGTCATAAACTATATCCTATCACAAGCCTTACCAGGAATGGTATGAGAAATATTAGCATATTAACAAAAATCTGGTAACATTTTAAAAAATGTTGTGATACAAGATCTTTTATAATCTCTTCCTGAACATGTTTTACAAATAAAAAAATACGAAGCAACAAGTTTATTGTCATTTGTTTTATGCAACATATTTCGAAACAATTTCAAATATATAAATAATATTTGTAGGTACAAGAATGGCTAGACAAGTTGTCAGAGATGTCTGCAGCAGATGAGCTATCGGAAAGTCAAGTGAGACAGCTCGTGTTTGACCTGGAGACTTCCTATGGGGCATTCAATAAGTTCCTGCACAAGGACTGAATTCATTAATGGTAAGTAAAACCTTCCCATATTAATATGTGTTTTTTCTAATAAAAACAGTCTTAAATGTTCTAAACTAGCCATTGCCTGTGACTCTGTCCGTGTGGTATTAAAAAATTAGTATAGCCTTTGTATTCTTCCAGATGTTCTACAGCTATGCCAAATTTCATCGAAATCTGTTGAGCCGTTCTGGAGATACATTCAAACAAATCTAAACATTCGCATTTATAATAATAAGCTAATACATTTTGTTTCAGACCACATGAAGAGCTCAAAAATACTGGTTTCATTTTTTTTATAATTATTTAGTCATTTTTGATATCTCAAATGGAATTAAGATAATATTAAGCATATATTTATATAAATAATGTTACTCAGTAAGTCTGCGTTAATAGTGTTTAAAGGAAAAAGAAAAAGAAGAAAAGTTTAAAAGAGGTGTTTGTATGTTCCAATCTATGAAACTAGGTACCGGATTAAAAAAATCTTTTTGTATTTGATAGCCTAATTATTAAAGAAGGTTATAGGATACTTGGAGAACATAGCGTGATGGTCTAAGGAGTCGAGTAGAAAGGTTGAAATTACTACATAGAAAAAGGCTATATGGCTCCATTGCTCACCTGAATGGTGTTCATATAATATATTATATATTTCAAAATATGTTAATACTAGTTGTAATATTAAGCATATTTTATTGTAAAATAAACGTTTCATACTCGTATCTTGTTTTATTTTTAAATTAATAATGTAATATACAGGATCCATTTGAAAAATATGATATTTGTGATCTAAGATTTCTATTAATAAATAATAATTTGAATTGATTAAAGGTTTATGTTGCATGTTTCGGTTTTGGTAATTCGTGAAATTTCATTTTCGACTTTTCATTTTTTTAATTTTGAGAGTGTATTTACTTGCACAATAATCATAATTCCTCAGTCACATGTTAAATGTCACGTGCAAAAGACACGTGTATTACCACATAGCCGTATACATAATTAAAAACTTTCATTGCCTCGTAAATTATAAAACTAATATTATGCATTTCGATATTCGCTAACAAAACGCACGAGTGGCGGGAAACGTGACGTGACCAAAGACAAGTATTTTTTAATTTCTTTTTTTTTAAGTTAAGGCAAAAACAATTTTGTCTCTAATATATTTTTTTTAAATCAAAACTTTTTATGTGATGAATTATTTAATGAAAGTTTGCGATGTAGTAATTATTTTTATAACACTTTTCTATTTAAAAGAGGTAAGTTGTAACTACTTTCTTTATTATTTAATTTGGTCCTTAGTTTGTAACAATGAACTGGAATTAAGTAAAAAATCCAACTACGGTAATAAATAATCGTAAGACAAGTATTTCAATTCCCAATAGTATATCATCATCAATTTTAGTGCACAAAAGACGTATTCCAAAACCTCGATGAGAAATACCATTTAGTTTCGGAAGCGTATTCCATCACCAAGAAACTGTTCGTGCAAGGACGTGATAACTATAACACGCTGAAGAATCGCTCGCTGCATGTCATGGATACCTTCCTAGACCTGGTGCATATCATGAACGAGGAGATGGCGAGGGAGTTGAGGAGTGCGATTGTTAAATTCTATAAGATCAAATATTTTCATGATTTTACTAATTACGTGGTTAATATCGAAGAGGTAAGATAACTTGTAACTACTTTTAGTTACCCTTACGCCTATATTCTATTGTTTTACTAAATTTTTTATAGATGTCTATGGTATAAACTACGCCTGTGGTCCTTATAACAGTAGTAATTAAGTTCTCTATACCATTGCAACGTAACTCCGTCACGTGGTACGAACACGTGTTAAATGTGTACGCTTTGTTACGTTTACATGATGTATAGACGTAATAATAGTTAGCTATAATTATGTTTTGCAACGTACAAACCACCTACAAGACAAAAATAACTTTTTGTACGCTTTACTATAGTTATAGACCTATTTGTCACTACGATTATTTGCTATAAAATATATAAGGGGGGAAGGGTTGTACCAAAGATTTATAAACTTTATTTTTCGTTGACATTTTCATTATTATATTGTTTTCGGTGAAGGTCTAGATTTTGGGACACAGCAGTGGTGCCCCCGTTATGTAGAGCTTCGGCCCCCGCTATGTAGAGTTCTTTTTCCTTTTCGAATCCAATTTATTTTCCACTATCATCTTTTTTGGATCTTCCGTGGATTAGTCAAAGTGACTAAAGCTTTAAAATCTCTCTCTCAGACGGTGGACATAATCGAGCACTGTCTCAAAGAACCTTTAGAGAAAGTGGATCAGATTCGAGGCCAGTTCCACGACGTCATCAAGAACTTCCAGGACTCGCGCAATTTCGAGGTTGTCAACCGCTGCTACAATGAACTTCCCGACGAGGTGGCGGTTACACACTGTCTACTGCACCAGGCCGTGCTGTTAGTATTGACTACATAAAACATTTGTGACAGGTTGCTTGATACGTTTACTACTTTACTTTAAATGATTAAAGAACGTATGGAAAGAAGATATTTTCAAGTAAACTTGTCTTTGAGCCATATATCTATTAGACCATAAACAACAACTGCGAAGGTTGCGTTCCAATGCAAAACTCTATCCATAAAAAACTACTTAATTTAAATATATTCCCAGTCATAGTTCAACTTGTAAGATTATACCTATTTATTTACTAGCTGTCGCACGCGACTACATCTGTTGAAAAAGTTAGTAGTGTTTCTAGCCTATGTGTATTACCAGGCTATGTTCTACATCTATGCCAAAATTCAGCGAGATCCATGAGCTGCTCTGGAGATACTTTTAAAGAAACATCCATCCATCTTAACATTCGTATTTAAAATACTAGTAAGACTAATCTAAGAACTTTTTTTCAGTTTCAATGAAACGATGCAAGCTAACCTTATCGCTATAGTAGAGATAAAGACGCGCCAACACGCGCAGGATATGAACGCGACGCTGTTCGGTGTACGGAAATGTCTCGACGACTTTGTACCGAACTTTTTTGAGCAAGTTTTAGTAGACGCGTATACAAACTCTTGTGGTTTCCTCAAAGTTGTGAATGCTTCAGTATCTGATTTGATCCAAGACCGCTGGAGAAAATTCCATGAGACAAAGTTCCCGAAGAAATGGAGTCCACTTGTTAGCCTTTTGAAAGAAAAGTTAGTTTCATTTTGTATGTATTTACATTTATTTTTGTTTGAGAAAATCAAATAGGATCTCTTTTTTGATGTCGGTTAAAAATGGTCCTTCGAGCCGGTCTAATCTCATTTATAATGATATACACATCATTTTCACATATACTATATATGTCACGGATCCAAATAACAATATGAAATGTATTTTGCAGGTCATCAACAAGTCGACAAAGCACAAAAGAGCCGCTATTTCTAACTCTAATCGCTGCAAACCTCACGCCTCATGATATTATAACTACGCTATATTCTTAGTAATATCAGAAAAGAAATTAGTAATTCGTATATTGCATAATTTAGATTTGTAATTCATTTTCAATATTAATTTGAAAACAATACTTTTTCGAAGTTTGAAAAAATTAAGTGCGCAAAGTTTTCCATAGATGGCGCTTTCATACATATCTTATAGATGTTTTGTCTCTTTCATGTAACGGAATGCGACTAAGAGAAATTTACCCATAAAATTATAAGAATCATAGAATTTTTGTATAATATTAAAAAAAAATAACTTGTGAATATAAAAAATAGGATAATTATTAATTAGATCTATAGATAAGACCAAGACTGACATTAAAAAAAATCATATCAAATTTTTTTTTTTATTTCCTTCTCGTCTTTTAAGTCCTGAGTAATTAAAAAAACAGTACTTACCATACACAGTGATGTTAAATCCTTTTTATCTTGCAATAAAATACATTTTAAATATAAGAACATGTTTATTAAAAATATTTTACGTACAAAGATATTGGCTAGTATTGAGATTCTCTTAATTTTATTATAAAATAGTGTAAAAATAAAATATTATGTAAAACAGTCTTTTAGTTTTGTGTATTTGACATATTGACACATTTAATGAAGATTGCCGCAGTGAAAATTATTCAATAATAAATATTTTTCATTTAGTAACAATAATAAGGCACATTACATCATAAATATTAATACTATTTTAATACATTATTTGAAAAATCAATTCAAAACCATCACTGGTAACATTTGTGAGATGAAAATTACAAAAAAAATTTCAGATCAATATAAAATATTGAATAATATTTTTATTAACTCTTACGAAACACATCAACTATTTCATTGACCAAATAAAAAGTTTCAAAAATGAATGCTATGAATTAACTTCCATAGTTTCATCATTTTTGAATGTAACAACAATTTCATCGCTTTTATCAAACACTTTCGGATGAAAAAAGGAATAATAAATCACCATAAACACTAAACCTAACACATACGGAACAAAACTCAACACTAAAACTGGATAAAAATATATAGACGATCTCATATCATCATCAACAAAGAAATACCACAAGATGGTACAAGTTATATTCTGAAAGAAACATATAGTATAATAAACACTATATCTATATCTAGTCCTACCTTCGATAGGCAGGATGTATGTGAAGAGGTAGACACCGCCGAGTGCGAGGGAAAACGCGAGCTCCGCCATCTTGTTGTGCGCACAAAATGGCGGCCGGTCACATATCTGCAGCCACGCGGACATGGCCAGCACGTGGCAGCCGCACGCCAGCACCGTGCAGTACGGATACAGGTATGCGATGATGGACAGTGATAGCACACGACTTACTGCAAATTACATTAATTAATTAATAGTTTTTTTTTGTAAATTTACTATTATTTCTTTTACCATTCCAACTAAGCTTTAGGCTTGCACTAGGATATGGTTTACGACAATAGTCGAATGGCGAGATTCGAACCCCCGACCTCGTGATCGGAAATCCGTACCCTTAACCATTAGGCTATTGACGCTTGAATAATGTTTCAACTCTTTTTCTTCCACTACCCGCTTTCTAACCGCTAATATCAATCTTACTAATATTATAAATGCGAATATTTAGATGGATGGATGTTTGTTAGAAGGTTTGTATGGAACGAGTGAATGGATCTCAATGAAATTTGGCATAGATCAGGAACATAGCCTGGAAGAGCACATAGGCTACTAATTATATTGGTTTTTAATTCCGCACATGTAGTCTCGGGCGAGGGTTAGTATAGCTTCTCTAAATGTCCGATTGAACTGTAATGATCTTCTACTTGTGAACCATTAACTTTATATCCTGCAATTATACACCATGAATCATGCCGTGTAGAGATATTTGGATTTGTTACTGTGAAAAAATATTGATACAGCATATAGTAGATACTGACATGTAACAAGGAAGTGCCACAATGTCTGCAGTATTGTGCCGCACCAGTTCATGTTGTTCTTGTCCTGCTGGGCAAAGCGCACGGCGCGCTGGTACGCCGCGAGGCACCACCCCATGCCAACTACCGATGAGCATATTGAAAGAATTTGATGCACTGAAACATAACAATATGAAACATGAATATATTATAAATTCGAAAGTAACTCTGTCCGACTGTCTAGCTTTCACACTATGACAACTGAATAAATTTTAATGAAATTAGGTGTACAGATAGTCCAAAGCCTGAGACAGGACATAGAAATTTGTAAGGAAGTATTGCCATTTTTACAGTAAGAAGCTTGAAACTTATTCTTAAGGCTATTAATTTAATATTAAAACATACAAAGTCATACTGCATGTGTCACAATGTGAATAATTTCAAAATGATTTACCTTAAACTTTGTCAACAACACAATAAATTATTATAGTTGATATTGTATCTGTACATAATATACTCACATGCTAAATGATCGTAAGCTCGAAACAAGAGACTAGTCTGCAGCACTTGCTGTGGCGCCGCCTCTAAGAAGCACTCAAACACCCTCAGCAGTGCTGCATCCGAGTCCTCCTTCAGCATCAGACCGTAGTACATCCTCTGTGATGATGTGTCATGCTTGCGTGCTGCTCTACGGGACTTTATTGCATATCTGAAATGAATGTACAAATGTTATAGTTATGTGACAACTTAGAATAAGTTTTATATGCAAATTATAAGCTTGATGGGAAGTTCTGGACACCGTAGCCCACTACTGCTATGTATCAAAATGGAATAAAAATATGTAATGTTACATAAGAGCATCAGTAAATCTGAGTATCGGAGCCAGTTGCAGCACAAGAATGAAGATCCTCAGCCAATGCCGCTTCGTAAACTCATTGGTTACTGAGTCCTGTTGCTTGTCTTGAGCATACCTAAAAAAATAGGTGCTATTAGATTACCAAACAAACTGCTATAAATAGTCTTAAAGTAAGTTAAACGAGAAGTATTCTTTAATTTAAACAACTTTTATGAAACTTACATTCGTATAGAGACAGCGGTGTTCACAAATGCCGGCAAAAGGATGAATGTCAACGTCCATCCGAACTCCATCATTTTTTGTGCTATAGAATATCTTACAGCTACATTTATATCCAGGCCGAGGTCCACGAGATGTCCCACTATTGCAACCACATACATAATTATATCTAAATTCTTTATATTTATATTATTCGGTATTCGATCAGGTTCGTCGTGCGAGTATCCATTTTGGAGCATTTTACGTATCGCTTTCGGCATCGTGTTTTTATTTAATAAATGTTTACATATTCAAAGTAAACAGAAAACAAACTATGATTAAACATGTTCACCCGCCCGCCACTATTTGACAGTATGACACACACATGACATGTCATTGTCACTGCTGTCACATGGACAGGAGTGAGTCATTCTAGTAGATTATAATAAATACAGGTAAAATAAATCTTGTGGTTAGAATGTTAAAATAAAATTAATATTATTAAAGTAAACTTTTCATTTTAGATCCTTGATTTTCAATTTTTATTAAATGAAAACTACAAACACTTGGTTATAGTAACTGTGCACATTATGCTAAAAGGTTATTTAAACCTAATTTTTGTTTGTTATTCGACTAAATGATATTATTTAATTACACATATACATTTATTGATATAATCATATAACAACAATAGTCTTACACATTTTTATTAATTGTAAGTGGCAGTAAGAACCAAACTTTTCTGCTTCACCAAATAAAAGGTGCTCTTTCTCTTAATATCTTGAGACCAAATTTGGTCCATTCACTCTGATTAATCCATAACTCTATAGCTGACTCTAGGCATGACATTACTGCGGCTCCTTTCCAAACTGTACTTGCTGGATCAATGTCTTTCGGCGATGTAACTATTTCTAATTGTTCAGTCTTGTAAGTGTAGGGTATTTGAAGAGCTAATCTATTTTGCAACCATAAATTTAAGCCATGTACTTTAACCCCACCACCTACTATTAGAATACTACTGTACATTTTTCTCTTTAGTTCTTCACTGGAACATCTGTCAATGCTCTGTAGAATAGCTGCATCTAAACCTAGGACCTGGCCAGGTGCTAAGGATACAATATCCCCAGGACCACCATCAAGTGTGTCAACTACAATATCTTCATCTGCGTTTCCAGTTGGCTGGTTTTCATTGACAGATTCAAATTGTTGGTTTTCATTTGCTGTTGGGTCAACTGTTTCCCGTTTTCTTCCAGTTTCTCTAAGAAACTCTGCATCGAACGGATCCTCTGGGTCACTAGGTTGTCTGTTCTGTATCTTAGTTGATTTTGGTCCAGTTATTTTCAACAAATCTGTATAGAAGAAAGAAAGTGGAGATATTATGCATTCATCGCCAACTTGCAATGTGTATTTATTAATTACATCTCCTGGATGGTCAACAAGGAAAGTCTTCTCTTGCGGACCACATACATCAAGATTAACATGACAGAAGTCTTGGTATAAATTTCTCATTAATACAACATCTCTTGGAATATTTTCATTCCAATTTTTGTAAGGAAAAGCACTTTTATGAAACATCCAAGATAATGTTTGACAAACATCCCCAGCTCCATAATCCATTCGTAACCTTGTGGTTTTATGTGAGATACCATCTTCAACACAGGATATAGCCGTCTTTTGATCTCCTATATCCACAACACAGGCAGATCCTATTCCAGCTCCAAATGTAGCTCCCACACTCTCTTGGACTAGAAAACAATGTCCAAACCCTAAATCTTTCAATAATAGTGACATAAGACATTTTAAATGACTTCTGGAATAAATATCAGGTATCAGCAATACACATCTGTATTTGACCAGTTCCATTAGTGGTATACCAAGTTTATATTCAATAATTGAGCTCCAAATTGTGTACAAATCATTTAATACTGAAGATATGGAGCCACCTATTTCTGAATGTATATTAAAATCACCTCTTTTGTATGGGAAATGAACATTATATTCTAGTTCCGGGTCGACGTCTAAGACTAAATCACCGACAACAATGTCACACTCTACCTGGGGCCATGGCTCACCGTCGTTAACAGTCTCCGGTAATGAACGTCGGTTAAATGCAGCAATTTGTTGTGGAGGGGTGGCATATCTTCTTGATCCATTGGACTGCATACATGACTGAAGCGTGTGTGATATCTGTAGGCGACATTCTTCCAATTCTTCAATTAATTCCTTTGTTTTAGGTATGCTGGGGGGCACAAAAAGGTCCCGATAAATTTTTCCCCCGGGTCGTCGTTTTCTAGCGATGCAGTGTAACTGTTTGACTGGAAGAAGGTCAGAGGCTCTTCCTATTCTCACATACAATGAACCAGGATGTATAACTATTATCCTGTTCGGCGGAAACTGTTGAAATTGTTCCGGACCGGGGTCATGAGCCGGCGCACTCATTTATACTATATTACTTCGATTTCAAGAAAATTCCAAATTATTCAACTTATTCTCTCTTCTTTATTCACTCCTGGGCGTTATATACAAATCAAACTTATACTAAAATTGTAAAACAAAAAGCATAAACATAACCTTACATTGAATTTTGAAGATTTTTTATTTGCACTTCAATGTTTAATCAAATTAACGCATCAAAACTTAAGAATTAAACATGGTTCTTACAAAACAAGAAAAACATTATTTAGCTAATTTATAGTAAATAAAAACCCAACATCTTTTAAATCTTAAAATTATGAAAATGGCGCAGAATATTTTTTTCATCCAAGGTAAATGATTTTTCTTAACTTGATTTTCTAAACGCAATTTGCTATCAATCAGGTAAAAGAAACGTCAATGTATTTTTTGAATTGAAATTGACAGTGACGCGATGATACTGTAATGCGATTTTGTAAACCTGAAAGTTGATTATTTCAATAAATGTTTGTTGCTATTAAAAACATTAAAATTCAGGAATAAAATTAAAAATGGTGTCCCGAAGTTTAACAGAAGTGTTTATTCTAATGAGAAACAATGCTATCCATAGCCGGCAGATATTTACCGAGGTACTAATGCAATATTACATTAAATTTTCGATGTAGACAGCGCAAATATTATTTTTAAAAGTGTGTTTTGCATTTATAAAACTGTTTTTAATCAATAAATTACGACTTAACTCTTTTTATAAGTAAAATAAATTTTTAGGTATTTGTTTATATTTTACAAAGTGTGCTACTTTTTTACTTCGGTGGCAATATGCTTGCTAAATATTTCTAGACTTTTAAAGTATATATTTCAAAAGCATTTGGTTAACATTATCACATACATTATAATTATATTGATATGTTACAGGCACATGACTCAGAACGAGTGGGTTTGATGCGTTCAAACTCTCGTGATCTGGAAGGAGGTATGGAACTAAAGACAGACACCAGCGCGCCGCCACCCTGGACTGATTCTTTGGAGGAGGCACACTATGTTATCACAAGGTTTGCATTATACAAACTATTAACAAACTAATCACCATTGTCCTGCTCCTTTCTCTACAAAAGTTTGCATAGTATGCTATACATCTCTATCAACTGTTATGTCTGAATTTTCTTGTTTCTTGGGCATATTTTTTACACAATCTTTGTGTCATCAATGTCACAATGTATGTTTGCAATAAACTCCAAAACTACTGAACTAATTCTCATCAATTTTTCTAAGCATCTGTTATTTGGTCGAACTTTCATTTTAATTATTAATCTTTCCGCACGGACAGAGTTGTGGGTGACAACTAGTATGTCTATATTTTCTTCAGTCGTCCTAGACTAAAATAAAATCGTACTATGCTATCTGTACATATTTAATTCATAATACACAAAATATAGTATGCCAGAAATTCATTAAATGTTTATATGTTCATTATGAGTTTCTCTTGACTCATATCAGCTGCTAAGGACACCAATAAATGATTATAATAGCCCTTCCATCATTCATTAGTTGAAGTTCAAAGGCTGGCCACACACCTGCAATTCCTCTGGTGTTGTGAATGCCCATGGGGTGTTGTTGATCACCTCTGTGTTCCCGTCGCTCGTTCTCTTATAATAAAAGTTATCATAAGACTCAACTGTCTTCAGGTTACGTACCAAAATATCAGAGCTGCAGACACGTCACGAGCGGCAGATCCGGCGTCCTGCGCTTGATGACAGCACTGAGCAACAGTACATCAGCAAACTGACCGGAGAGATTGGACGGCTGTTCACGCATGCACACACACATCTCTCAGCAATAAAAGCACAGGCATTAAATGGTACAGTACTGCACTAAAAATACAAGGAATTTTGCAATATCTCTTCAGTAAGGTCTACTTTTAGTCTTCTCCTTCCCACCCTTTTTTTATTAGGAAGGATGTGAAAGGGAAGGGACGTAGTCGCGGGGAAAAGCTATTGTTATAGATAATATAAGTTGTCTCATTTTAATTTCACTGATCATATAAAAAATTCTTTATATTTTTCAGGTAATAAAACGGAACAGAAATTAGCCAATAATGTGGTATTAGCATTGGTTACAATGGTACAAGATTTAAGTGTAACATTCCGTACAGCACAATCAAACTATTTGAAATCATTGACATCCCGAGAAGAAAGATCCAAAGCCTACTTCGATCTTCCCAACTTTGAAGAACTGAGTTTAGGTGATAACGATCTTCCTGGATTAACCAATAACCAGACTGACCTTCTGTTCTCATTACCGAGCACATCTCACAGTTATCATGAAGATGACAAAGATTTAGATGGAATGTTCCAGAAGCAAGCCTTAAGTCAGAAACAGATGTTATTAATACAAGAAGAAAATACACAAATGGTTGCAGAAAGAGAGGAAGAAGTGAATAAGATTGTCCGATCTATAGTTGATTTGAACGAAGTATTCAAAGATTTGGCACATATGGTTCACGAACAAGGTACAGTGTTAGATAGAATAGATTATAACATAGAGCAAACTCAAGTCCAGGTTCATGAAGGTTATAAACAATTGCAGAAAGCGGAAAGATATCAACGGAAAAATAGAAAGATGTATTGCATTTTAATGTTAGCAGCTGTCATCATTGTTTTAGTTATTCTACTAATTATAGTAAAGAGTTAGTTTTATGATTTTTAGTGATTGGAAAAGAAATTAAGTGTTTTTACTATTCCAAACTTTATTCTTTAAGCAGTTAAGTGTACTTTCCATTACTATGCTCTAATTTGGCTGTCAAGGTATTTTTTATTTATTCTTATTAGTTTAAAATCTTTTTTTTAATATTTTCAAGGAGTAATTATGAAAATTAGATAGATAGATTACACTAAATATAATTTTCACGAAATATTTGTGAAAATGAAAACTCGGATATCATTCTGCTTTAAAGTATTCCTATAAAGTTACTCTGGGAATAGGAACACTGTTGAAAATAAAAATTGTAGCTACATTTGATTATAAATGATGTTTGCGTTTACAAATTTTCTTCCTTAAGTTTGAATACCAGAACTCATTACGTAATGGTAACCATATTTATGTTAGAGGTAATCGAATTATATTGTGTCAAAATTTATTTACACATATGCTATGGTCATAAGTTTACCAAATACTGTTCCAGAGAGATTTCTAAGGAAATGAGAGCATAGATAATCCAACACTTGTATAGACTATAACTTTATTATCTATGTTCTTATGTTTTGTAAATACTTGTCTATGTCATTGTATAATATCATTAATTTATTTATGCTTAATCTGTAAAAATGCAAGAATGTGTATTGTTATCCCTTACATTCTCTATTAAAACAAAGGAGACAACAATACGAATCCCCGCATTCAAATTCTATGGTGATGTATGCTTGATTTTTGCTAGTGATATGCTTATTTATAAAGATTTGTGTATATCGTGATTGTATGTGTTGTGTGTGTGTTTATGTATTGTCGTATCCAATAGAAATAAGACATTATTTATTCGAACCTGGATCCTTTGTCCCGACGGACGACCTCCTTAAGCGAGAAACTTGGGGCAAGAAAATTACAAACCAGCGGCATTCATAATTTGCCGACAATAAAAGATATTTTTTAATTTATTGCCCATTTTGATTGCTAATTTAAAGTTATGACAAATTAAGAAGGTGTATAGACGAACCATGTCGAAGAACCACCTCCATAAGCGATTTTGGTTAGAGGGAGACCTCTAAAAGCGAGACAAATATCCATTGGAGTTATCCAGGTTCGATTATATTTCTTTGTATTACATTAAGTAAATTATTGAATTTAATTAGATTACGAAACTTATATATCAAATAATTGATAGAAATATATTTACTGTTATAATTGTTTATATATTTTTTAATTAATCTACCCTAACTATTAAAATTACTTTTACTGCCACACTGAAAGCAGTTTATTGGTTGACCCTTACTGTAGATTTTTTGTACTAAAATTACACTAAAGAACTCTATAATCTTAAAACCAAAAACCATCAGTGTCACTATTATACGTAGACTGAAATTTACAAATACCCTGCAGATTTTAGGTGAACTCAACTACCATATTTCGTCTTTTAATATAAAGATTTAAAAATGAACATAACCTGCGCCCCTAACCTGGTAGAGTAGGCAGAGATACTGATTTTTATTTAGCGCTACCATGACTTACGTCTTCCACATTCATCTGCATGGCTTTAAGTTGCTTCTAACATCACCCTTACCAATTTGGTTGGTATTAATGTCTACAAACATTACTACGAATTTTCGTGATATTATCATCTTGAAAATTAAACCGCTACGACGTAAGTTCCTTTAAGAAGCGAGCGTATCACCATCTCAGAGGCCGGCAACGCGTCTGCGTTCCTCTGGTATTGCTGATGTCCATGGGCGTCGTTGAACACCTCGGTGTTCCCGCTGCTCCTTTGCCACCTTCTCTTATAAAAAAAATATACATACTATAGTATTCCCTTGGAGAGAGAGAGAGAATATCGTAGTCCCTTGGACTCTCAATTAATCAGGTTCGGCTGTTATTGGAGGTATTGAAGGTACTAAAAAAAACAAGTTTGTTGAATTGCACTAATGAATTGTAATGTTAGTGATATCTTAAAGTACAACTTCTGTCAGTTTACAAACTGTCAAGTGAAACAAGATTGGATATAGTACACTTTATAAATAAATTCCTCATAATTTTACAAGACAAACAATATTTTAGACTTTCATTATTAATAATTTCCTTAACAGAGTGAGAACAGTTTTATTATAATAAATTGAGACATGATTTATTGATTTTTTTCAAATAAATTAAAATACAGATGCTGTTTATTTCTCTTTAAAGTAAAGTATTTCCAAGTTATACTGAAGTGTCCAAAAGAAAAGAAATTAATATTTCCCTACAGACATTTCCACTCAAATAGTATTAAATCTAGACCGAAATTAGTAAAACAAAAAAAAACAATATTTTTAAATTCACAAATATATGGCTGTTTTTCTCCAATCACTTTTTATTAATAAGAAGACAAAGAAGGTCAGTTTCCAACTCTAATAAGTGAGACAAAGATAATAATTTCCTATTCCCATAAAAAGCAACTGATCACAAAATAAAAAAAAGTTCATTGCAAATCATAACCAGAAAACTCACTCCAAACTACGAATCTTTGTTCTTATTATAAAATTCATCTAAATACTTTTTGTAGGCGGGTTGGTTCGACCATAGATATGACGCTTGCTGATTGAGTGGGCTCAACGTATTTGGTTCACCTAGGAGACTTTGGATTGATATGAGTACCGTCCGAATATCATACAGGGCGGTCCATTTGTCTTTTAAAATGTCCAAACATATTAAACCACATGTATCTACGTTGGGATGAAAACAGGGTGTCACAAATTTAACTATAGGAGGTGCATAAGGATATGAATTAGGGAATTCCAATGAGAGTTTATATTTGTGCCCCTCGTACACCGTGTCTTCAGGACCGTGTATTGTGCCTATCCATTTAAATAGATTTTCACTTTCCGGGAATGCTGATATTCCTTTATCTGAACAACGCATCAACTCCATAAGCTCCTTTTGAAGTCTGCAAAAGAAAAAATAGAATGAATTTGTGTGGATGTACTCTATAGTAAATATTATGTGATATGTTTAATAATATGCTAAGACAAAGAGTTAGTAAGTAAATGTGGAGTAACACTTTCTCTACTTGATTATCTAACATAAAGTAGTACACAAAGTCGTAACATAGAAATAGAAGGTAATCGCGAAACAAAGACTTTTGAATACACCTTGTAACGAATTTTATGTGGGTACCTCATTGAAATGTTCTAGAACTAATCTCTTACGTGTTCATATACTGCAAATGCAACGAATATAACATATTGTTCAAACATAATGACAAGTGCATTACGATAAGTTGGTAAAAATTAACCTAGTAACGTAACGTAATAATTTAGTATTAGAAAATTTCATAGCGTATTTTCGTATGAAGTTTTATGATTTAAACACCAAATCTTCTAAGCGCTAAGTCGAATTGATTAAAAAATACGTTAAAACATTCCAGACTTACCGTTTGCTTACAGCATGATTGTCGTTCAATTTTATTGTGTCCTCGTTTTGTTTGGCGGGATTTGACGAAGACGCGTAATGTGGATTAATATTCTGGGCCATAATCAAAAAGCAGATCGAAGTCAGATATCACCGAGTGTCTGTTAAACAAGAACGACTTCCTGTTAATTTTAAAAAGCTTTAATTTTATTGGATATCCCATTCATTTGACAGTAAAGCTGGCGTCAAACAACGTCACAGATAAGCGCCATCTATTCAAGAAATATAATTTTTAATTTTTTTGATGTAGAGATGCAATTTTATAAAAAATCGATTATACTTTTGAAATAACATTTAATTTAACCATACACGTATAACATCTTAGTAACTGTGATAATTTAAATAGATTTATATAATTTACAAAAGTATACTTACGAAGTTAAGATCTTCCGACTTAAAAGTCTTTTTTTTACCACTTCTAAAAATTCAGAAAACAAGTACCATTTGATTAAATTTTGATCAAATAACTGTGTTAAGTTAGTTAAATTGTATGATCAGATTTCTACTTTCACTTTCATTTACTTTTGTTACTTTTAGCGGTTACTTAAGCGTGAAATTAGATAGATTCGCGTAGTAGTTGTTTAAAATAAAACAAAGCAAATCACAGTATCTAAGACTATTTAAATTGATGTTCGTCAGAATTTCGATTAGTTGTTGTACAAACATATCGCTGAAATAATCTTATAGCAAAAAAATCATCAGTCATCATGCTTAAAGTAAGTTTTTAGTGCTTAAAATATTTGTTTTTATGTTACTATTAATTAACTAACTTCTATTTCTTAAATATGCAATTAATGTTTTACTTGTTGATCGTTTGTGAAGGAGTCTTTAATTTTTTTCTTTGATTTACGTAGTTTCATGAAACTATTAAATAATGTCCAGTTAAATGTTCCTTGGCATTTTTTCTCTTAATAATGTTTTATAATCTAGACAAAAAACAATGTCTGTTTCAGTTTATTTTAACGTTTGTCATTATTTGACATTGACAAAGATAAAGTGACAAACTGTGGCGTGTTAGCAATTTGTTTGACCATATTTTAATATTGTGCGTCAGTGTAGAATTTAAGACCAATAATTGCAAAACATTACTATAACATTGGCATCTGACAATGGCGTGCCATATCTACTTTCAAAATCAATACATTTCGGACTCCGATTGTTCAAATACGTCAGATGTACGAAGTAGGATTTCACAAACGTTTGGTATTCCACCAGATGATTTATATGTAACAGTTAATGGACGAATTGTGTCTAATGAATTAAAGTTAGATAAAGAAAATGTGGTCAGAGTGCATACGAGACTTGTTGGTGGCAAAGGGGGTTTTGGATCCATGCTACGTGCGATTGGTGCGCAAATTGAGAAAACTACGAATCGTGAAGCTTGCAGAGATCTTTCTGGCCGTCGATTACGTGACATTAATGAAGAAAAAAGGCTTCGAAAGTGGCTAGAAGGGCAAGAGGACCGCGAGAGAGAGGCGGCTGAACGAAAACAAAAGAAGATTGAACGATTGTTAACCGAACCTAAAATCGAGGTGAATCTTAATCCGGATTACGAGAAGGGTCGCCAGGAACTGCCTGAGCGGGTCAGTGCCGCAGTGGACGCGGGATGGGAGGCCGCAGGAACATCTCAAGCATGTGGAAGTAAGCGTAAAATAGAAGAAACCATTTCCAAGGGAAAGAAGAAGGCAAAGTTGTGGATTGACGCTGATTTGTCAGATTGCTCGTCATTGAGTGAGGATGATGAGGAAGAAGAGACCAAGATGAGCCCTGTGCAGACAGTGTCCACTGACAGCGGCAATGAGTCAGACAGAGCTTCCGAGGCTAGCAGTAAAGTTTAGCTGGGGTTAACATAAAAAAAATAAAGCTTCATTTACACTATAATTATCCATTATTAAAATAACCAATCTTCTTATAATCTTTAATTTGAACAATTAAATTTGGTATAAATCTTTTAATAACTACTGCAGAATGTTACTACTGAACAATGTCAACATATAAGACAGTTTTTATAAATATATTTGTAATTATACAAAGAATTTCACAATAAATCAATGTAAAAAAAATTTGAATGTCTCTTATCAAATTACTATTAATATTATTTGGCTAGTTTTTAACTTGATAATCATATTTTTAATTTTAATTTAAATTGTCTATAAATAATTGTGATGTAAAAATAATTTATGTTAACTAGAAATTGATATCTTTAGTAATAAAATTAATTTAGGTTTAGCAAGTATAGTTATTTTATTCCCCTTGTTGTAAGACTAACTTTTGAAAAAAAATATTGAGAAAATGTAAAAATTTGTAGTGTGACGATATTTTTTTAACACGCCAGTTTATGTGTTAAAATTTCACAATCAAACCTTTAAGATTAAAAAAAATGTTAGGCACATTTAGAAAATTTTAAATTGATAAAAGGAAAAATGCTTGGTCTGATTTTTATATTAGTACAGCGCCATCTTTTGTTAAGTGACGGCTCTTCTGAAACTTTTTTTCTTTTTTCAGAAAAACATTTTCGCGTTTCTTCTTTTGCTGTCACTGTTAATGTTGGCCTTTGCCAGGCCTCAGGAGTTTGATGATGAAGACCATGACGATGACCATTCAATAGCAGACAAAAAAGGTAAAGAGAATATAGTGTTGATTATAATCATATTTGATAACTTAAAACTTTAACAAGACCGATGAACTAAGCAATTTTAACGTTATTTTAAGGTCTTTTTTAACTTTATTTTTAACTTTTCCAGATGATGTGTCCCGAGTTCAAATCAAAGTTTACCGAGGTCCGACCAAACACGACGGCTATGCACCGTGGGGCTTCTGGGTCAAACAGCCTTCAGACGACCAATAAATATGAAAATAAGTAGTTTTAATTTTAATGTATTATTTTAGTTTACGCCAGGATGCATAGATGGCGCTATTACTAATAAAACCAAAGACTATTCCTAAAGTTGTTTTTTTTCTTCAGAAAAGGGTTATAAAATATCAATAAGTGGTAGATTATATTTAATTATTTTGTGCATTCTGTTTTAACAACACGTTTTCAATAACAAGGATATTATCCTTTTTTAAAGAAAACATCTTTGTATTTCCTTTAAGATATGTTGAATTATAATGTTTTAAAGTTGAAGAAAAATTACATGCAAAATAAAGCTATGTCAAATCCTACATACTTCATGTGTAATAAAAATACGTACATATTACAAACGCCTCTCGCTTAAGCAGTAAATAAACGAATTATTGTCCTTTACACTAGTAGGCTAAATTTCATAGCTTAGTTGTTTATTATTGCCTAGTGACTAGTGATGTTATTTATTGAATTAAAAAAAATCACTAATTATTACAAGAAAAACGTATAATTGTATGAATGGAATAAGAACGGAAACTCAGATGTCTTGTGAATCAATTGTTACTAAATGTTGGATCGAATAAAAGTATAAAATCCATGTTCTCAAAACAATTCACTTTCTCTACAAACATTTTTAACGCCGCTAAAATGTAGCGTTTCATAACGTTGCGTTAGAGCTTGGGTCTGCACAGAAAACTAGTATGGCCTAAAGTTTGTTAAAGAACTAGGAATTTTCGATTGAATTGATGAACTATTTAAACAAAGGCAAGATAGTTTTCCAGGCATGTGCCTAATTCTTTAAGATTAAACGACTCGCTGACTAGGCCAAAGTCAACAATGCTGACCCGGTACAATGTTAGTGTTTAAATTGCATTTGGTGTCTAAGACATCTTATATACATATACAAAAAATACTTTTGGGTTTGAAGTAAAATGGAGCAGCATTTTAAAGCCTCTTAGTTTTTAATTCGATGTTTTAATAACATTTCTACTTCAACTTTCGGTCATTTCACTGGATAAATGAGTTGCTAGTTGTTTTAAAAAGATTTCGCGGTTTTTTTCTTATGTGTTTATATTGTAATATTATAAAGCAATGATTAAATAAATATTGTGTTTATTTTTGTACTAAGATGATTAAAATTAAACTAAACTTTAAAACAACTAAGAATTTTGACATATTGAAATTTATTTTGACAATTTGTCAACGTGTCGCAAATATTTATATTATTTTTGAAATGTTTTTGTATTATAGTTTATTTTACTTAGTTATTATACAATTATTAATGATTTAAAATCCGGAAGTGCACAAATAAACAGTGAAAGAGGTGGTATTAATAGTGACGTGAACAAAATAATATTTATCAATATGTGGATGTTAACCAATCACACGGCGTTATGTTGGGCGCCAAAAATACTAGTATTAAAAATGGGTAAGATTTACGACACTATAGTAATTACCGTTGGTTTTTGAAACCAAAATCTGTTATAAAGCAGAGATAAAAACATGTTTGAAACGGAGATTTTGGTCTTACAAACCCACTGTTACTGTAGCAACTTCTGTACTGCGACTTCAAAAAGAAGGGGCTTGTTAATTCGTCTGTATTTTTTTACGTGTAACCACTGCTGGTGGTTCGATTTCGATTATGAATTAGCTATCCGGTCCTACATAGGTACAGTATCTTTTAAGGATTACATCGTTCTTGTCTGTGGGACAATTTCCAGCCACTCTATTGACTTTCTAGTTCTTCTACTTCCTCCTTCATTTGTTTCGTATACGTTATACTTGGTATTTTAAGTTATTAGTTGTGTGCAGTACGTCGTAAAGGCTTGGTGCTGGGAATGCTGTTGCTGACATCGATGTTAGCAGCGTTGCCGGCGGGCTGGTGGCTGGCGCGCACTGTCAGCCGGGGCCTGATGCTGCCCGCCCCGCCGCCGCGCGACCTCACGCATTACATGCGTACTAAAAGTCTACGTGACTACTTGTTAGATATGTGGGTAAAAGTAGAAATACATTGGTATAAAAATTTTATGGTAGCATATTGCATAACAAAATTTTTGGTTTGTACGGAAGTAAATTCATTAGACGAGGTAAACCTTTGCGCCTGTTTTTCTTCACCCCCAGTGGACCTAACTAGTGTAGACATGCGCTTGCAGCTAACCGAGATTCAATCGACTTTAGTTTAAGCGGTATATAGCAGAAAATGTTTAAGAGCAACAGTTCATTTGGTCACTCGACTGATGTTTATTCTAGTCTTTTACTATATTAGCCAATCGATTGCTTTTAGACCTTGGGCTTTGGAAAATATTTATAAATACTATCTCTTATGTAAGTGTTTCGATGTTTGGTCAGTGATATTCTGGTCGAGCCAGCGAGGACCTCGTGCGACACGCTGTCTAATATCCCGGTGCTGGTGATGGTGACCAGCGCGCCGATGCATTTCGACTACCGCAACGTGATCCGAAAGACCTGGGCAAAGTACCAGCCCACACTCTTCATCATGGGCCTGCATAGGACTCATAGCGAGAGCATACTAGTAAGATATTATAATATAAATTTATTATAAAAGTAATTCTGGTAGACTTTACGTTTTTTGTGAGACGTAATTTGTTCGTCTTATTAAAATCGAATTAATTGTCTCAGGGTGGTAACTACTTGGAGTCGAAGCAATTCAATGACATTTTGGTGTTTGACTTCTACGATCAGTACCAAAATTTGACTTTAAAAACTGCTCTGATGCTGAAATGGGCGTCGGAGAAATGCCCGCAGGCGAAGTTCCTCTTTAAAACGGATGACGACGTCCTGGTCAATCCCTGGATGTTACAGAGGGTTATAAAAGATCACCCACGAGCACAACTCCTCGGTAAGAACACAACTCAGAGTACTAAGTGGCTATTTATAGCGATTATTTATATTTTATCTTCATTCAGGTTACAGTATAAACAAAACAAAGCTACATAGGGATGAATACAATAAATATTACGTACCTCGGTGGCTGGCCAGAGATGATTTCATACCACAATATCTCTCCGGAACTGGATATCTTATTAACGGTATATTTTTATTTAACCTTTGATAACTCTTTGCTTTTCTTCTTTTTTAGTAAGTTTTAAGGCGACAGGAGGCACCACCCGTGGACCTAGCACGAATGTGTGCGACAAGCGACTTCGTATCGTCATCATATTTATGTTAAATTTGTATGAAAATTGGTGCAAATTTTGTCGATGACGTTACGATAACGCTTGTCACAAACATTCGTACTAGGCTCATATATTTTATTCCCAATATTACTGAGTCTTCGACAGAAATTATTCGCTTCACAAATATATTTTGCATTGATGTTATGTGACCCTATCCAAGAATTTTGGACTATTTGACAGCTTATTTTTTTTTAAATACTGAAGCACAAGAGAAAGATGGGGGAGACAGGAACAAAAATCAAATGGGACTTGCACCACAGTCCACAATCGATGGAAAAATAAATAAAAAGGACTTTTAGCTTAGAAATATTATTAATATTTAATTCTGAATTTCGTGAAAATTGTAGCAAAGACCAACCAGATCATTTTATATTATCACTAGCTGTCGTCCGCGACACCGTATGCGCGGAATCTAAAAGAAACTTAATTAGTAGCCTATGTGTTCTTCCAGACTATGTTCTACATCTATGCCAAATTTCATCGAGATCCGTTCTGGAGATACCTCCATCTAAACATTCGCATTTATAATATTAGAAAAATGTTGCATTTTAGGAGCTTATATCAAAAAGATCTTACAGACAGCATACTTAGTCCCCATGGTGAATGTGGAAGATGTCTATATCACATACCTGGTGGCAAAGAAGACGCTCAACTTGACCCTCACTCATGACAGGAGGGTCAGCCCCATGAGGCCCTGGGTGACCTTCAGTTGTTTATACTGGCATTTAGCAGCTGCTCACAGTGTCAGACCTTCGGAGATATTAAAGATATGGCCCAGTTTGAAGATAATTGGAAAGGAATATAACAGAAAGAAAAAAGTTTGCTTTGGATATGAATTTTTTAATAAAGATATATTTTTGTATTGAAAAGTCCTGGGAAAATAATTTTTACACTTGATAGAAAACGAAATAACGCGCCGAAGTTGACAGTGTTGAGGGTCGAAGTCTTAAAAAAATGTGGATAACAAAGAGAACTAAGATACCTATTTACGTGTATTGTTGTTGTTATTGAATGTGACGTTAATGTTTGAATGTAGCTAGATTTTATACGTTATTTTTTAATTTGTATGTTTTATTTAATTTTTTAATAATTATTTTTGTATGCAGTATTGTTATTTTAGTACTTAATAAAAGATTTAATTATGAAAATGTTTATCTGAATGATGGTGTACGACTGGATCATTCCGTGGACCCTTTTAGACCCTACTGGATCACTAAGGTAACCTCTGTGTTTGAATCTGGTTAATGTAAAGAAAATAAAAGTATATTTTGATATGGAAGGTAAGTGTCGATGTTGGGAACAGATGCGATGCAGCTGTACTCAACTGATAAGCTTTATAGTTCTCTCTTCTTATTGGAAAATCAACATTGTAAGCGTCATTTCACTTGCGATACACAGGGACGGATTCGAAACTAATATAATTTCTTTTTTATTAATTTACTATGCGGTGATAAAAACAAAAGTTACTAGTATTAATCGACTTATATTTAAAGGCTTATGTTGTTTATAACATTTATAAATGGCTTACTTAATAAGATAATAAATACGCTGATAAATAAAAACACATATTTATAAAACTATTGACGTTTAGGAAGAAGTTAAGGATTCCTCTTCTGCAATTTCCACTTAAATTTAATCTAAAATAATTTATTTAAATGTTTTTTTTTATTGTAAGCGCGCTTTAAATTAATAATTTCAATCCAAAAATTGATTAACTAAGTAATCTACTAAGAAATATTATTATAATTTATGGTTTTTCTAATTAACTTTCTTCCGAATACGTGCCTGCTCGCTTTACAACAATGAATTGTGTATTGTAATGACTAGAAGTCATATAAAGCGAGCTGTGAGCCACACATCAAACAACTTCAGTGACGTCGCTTTTAACAATGGACGTGAAATTTGTGATAATTTTCATCTGCCTGCTTGCCCTGCTGCCGACACCTGGATATGCTGGTAAGTCACACATTCTAAACAATACTTCTTTTCTAGAAGAACAGAATAGAAGAATATGAAGAATAAACATTTAAATTTGACATTTATTACTTGGTCTCACCATTACATTGAGATTAGAGACATCAATATTTTAATTTTTCGGTCACAAATTAGTAGTATAGGTACAAATATTGCTACGTTCCTGGTGAAATTTTGACGGTATCAGGTACTAGGTCATAAACAATGGGTAGATTGATCAAAATAATAACTAGTCCTTTAATTCAGAGAAATACGAAACGAGATAATTTCTTTATAACAAAATCAACAAATTAATACAATTATTGTAGATTTCTTATACAATAGAATTAGTCCAAAGACACCGGAAGAATTAGATGCACTGAATCTCAAATGTGTACCCGGTCGGACAATTTTAAAGATCGAGTCAATAGCAGATAAAAGTTTTGATGATAATGATGGAACAGAGGAAGATGATGGTGATATAGAAACCGATACGAGACGTGTTCATACGACATTTGTGCCGAAAGACGACAGCTGTAAAATATGCGTCTGCTCTGTAGAAGGCAAAGACGAATACTGCAGCAAAAGACCCGCCATGAACGTCAACGAATGCATGAGGATGACGATGATCAATGAGAGTTTTAATAAAAATGTACCATTTGATCATGAGAGGTCACTCTCGTACAGGATTAGAAGAGGTTTGTGTCTTCAAAACGGATTGTGGCAGCTGATAGAACACTTTGTATTTATTGATTAGATTAAGGACATAAATTCGAATGTTGCGTTAAAGTTAATTAAGTATATCTTTTAATTGCTGACGTACTTGATTCTTATACTAATTGCGTAATACTTTTTAATAAAAAAAACTGTAAATAAACTGTTCTACAGTTGTTAGTCGTAACTTTTAAAATATTAAAGTGTCGATTTTGATTGTAAATCACAGATTACCTTTGGCATAAAGACGAAATCCCGTACTCGGCGACGAGTCTTTGTTTACGAGGAGTGTCTTACTACACCAACAATGAGAATGCAAAAAACTCGACGATAGCTAGACAAATGAGAGTCGTGTCCCAACTGGACTACGGCACCAGGAACGTCTGCTACTTCTGCGTGTGCCACACGTCCGGCTCGGAGCCAGCCTGCATCGTTAGGAACCCATGGTTCTGCGACTACTATCGAATGATGAGAAGACCTAACTACGCTAGGGATAGATATAGATACTTGTTTAAAGAAGACAGACCGGCATACTTCAGACAACTGTCGTATAGAATTAGGAGAACTATGGACGACGGAATAATGGAATTACTAGATAAGGGTATGAATTTACGGGGAATATCGTGCGTGATTTTTACACTGGCCTTTTTATATTCACTGCTATTTGGTTTATGATATCAAGATTTCTCTTTTTTTATTATCTGTGTTATTTTTTAAGTACAACGCGTCGTCTTCTGCTACCAATCTAGAGAAATTAAGCGAGTTAGTTTTAAAAATTTCAAATTTGATGAGTCCCGATTATGTATTGGATGTTAGATGCATTTACGTTTTCGTCTTGTACACAAAAGATTGGTGCTTGCAGGAGGCGACTCGTTGTGCTGTGGACATCCCAATGGTCACCGGAGGATCCTGCACGACGGTGTGAGGAGGAAGCTACGCCTGCTGCAGAGGAAGGTGCCCAGAGAGAACATATTAGCCGGCAGTCCTACTGGAGATTACGTAGATTTTGTTGTCAACAATGATAAATAATGACACGAAGATAAATTGTTAGCAGATGTGTCTTTTGATGTGGAAGAAATGAATTCTGTGCAGAATAAAAGTATTGTGTTTGATGAATATTTGTGTTAAGTTGTGATGTGATATTGAATATTTTAAGTGATTTTGTTGTATGTTCTGTGTGTCATCATTTTTTGTTACTTTTGTAAATTATTGGTGTTTTAATAATAAAATTATTTGTTACGTTTTATATGTGATGTGTTTATTTGACTGTGAATTGTTTAGTGAAATAGTACATTTAGGAAATATATTTAGAAGATATTGCACTCTAATGCACATTTTTATTAACTAATAGCACAAAGCATAGTTTGAGTTTCCATCAGCTGCACCAATCACAATGCTTTTTTTTTTAATTTTTAACGTGTTTATATGCTCATGGCACTCTCTTTACTCTTTATTAAGCTAAGTATTCTTCCGATTTCGATATTAAGATTATGTTAACATGAAAATACAAAGCACTCGCTTGCTTTTCAAAGTCTGCCTGCTTTTGTGACAAAGATCAGTTTATCTATGATTAGATGTAGTAGTCATCAATGGAAGAACGAGAATTTATGTTAATCTAATTTGATTATGATATTTATTTTTATAATACAATTTTAAATAACAAATCATAACTGTAAAATAGCAATGTTTTAGACCAATTTTTCAGTCTTCAATAAAAAGGTAAGCAAAATTAAAAAGTTATGAAAACCATAACTATCAGACGTAAGTATCATTTCTTGTAAATTTATTGTCTGTTTCTTAAAATTAAATAATTATAAAATAAATCGATAAGATATAACGATTATTGTTGCGATTTCAGTGGGAGATGAGGAAACCGAATGCGTACCATTCTTGTCAGAATATACAGATTGTTCTGAAGGTAAGTACTTAAGATCTTAAGTTGTTAATTATTTTATAATATCATAAACGACCATAACTAAAAGAAGGCGAATTCATAGTATTTTATCATTCAAAGACTTAAATGGTAGTCCCAAGTCTCCGGGAAAAAAAGGAACCAAAAAACTATTCAAAATGACTATGGTCGTATATGTTATAGGTTACAATTGAAAAGATATTTATTAAATGTAATTTATCTTTGAATACGGTGAGTCAAAAATATTTTAATTTTACAATTGCAGCAAATGTTTGCTCTGGTTGTACTAAATGCTCGTGCTCCGCGGAAGGGCGATGGCAGTGCCAGTTGGTGCACGAGTGTCCAGGGTCAGGAGACGAGGATGTGGTGAATGCAGACACTATTAGCAATGCCTATGAAGTCTTGTTCAATGGTAAGTGACGTAAGAAGTTATAAACCAACCAGTTCAAGTCCACTCAAAAAAAAGGACCTTAAACGATCAAGAAGTTCAAATCTTATTAATGTCGTGTTACTAATATTCCAGAACTTTCTAACATGGAAACTAAAGTTGAGCCGATTGAACCAGAAACCCAGCCCGAGGAAAGTCGATTATTAGGTTAGCATTAAATAATTGAAATCGATATATTATATTTATTAGATATTTTGACACGTTTTTACTTATCATATACATCTTTTTTAACTTTATTCTATAATTTCAGGTTACTTGATTGCTGTACCTTAATGCACTGCTTTGCACTTGTTTTTTTTTTTAAATAAATATATAATTAAAGCACTATTGTTTTGTCATAGCACACTATATTCAAATGTTTAATTTTTAAGTTTTTATTTTAATGACAAGGTAAGAGTTTTAAATGTTGTCATGATTATATATGATAGGGGATTGACAATATTTCTTTATATTTTGATACAGGTAACTATGAAGATTTGGACGAAGGGCAACATATAGCGCCAATAGTGAAAAGATCCGTGAAAGATAATAGACAGAATACAAGCGTTAATAACGCTAATGGAACAGTTAAATTTTATAACATCGTTGATGAAATAAATGAAGGTAATTTAAAAGAAATCAATTACATAGTAATAGTATTATTTATTAGAAGTTTTGAATAATAACAATAAATATTTTCAGACACTCTGAAGAACACAAATGAATCAGGCACAATTGAGGCGAAACAGATCAACGGTGTAAAAGTGCCGAAAATTTCAAGAAGAACTAGTGTTATGGATACAAAAAATATTACGGGCATCAGTGACTTGCATATAGATTTTCATGAACCCAAAGGATTCGATCACCACATTGTTGATAATAAAATAGATTCTTTGGTTCGTAACGAAGAAAAAACTAGAATCTTAAACCCAAGTAAAATAGGAGAAGTGATAGGGAACCACTCGCAACAAACTAAAGATAAAGATTTATCTCAAATAGTTGTTAATGAACTAAAGAAAGGATCTGAAATAATTGGTAATAAGGAAATGACTCCAGTTTCAAATATAACTTTTACACCTGAAAATGATACTTTAACTGCAATGGCGTTCATTGCTGGTGATCTATTGAGCAAATTGTGGAAACTCGAAAAAGAATCAAGTGTCGAATCGATGGAAACCGAAGTATTAAAGCACGAAAAGCTTGCTGATTTATTGGAATTATTTAAAGAACCACTTACAATGAGACAAGAATTATTCATAAAGAATGCTTTAGAAAGACTTTCAAAGGCATTAGATAAAGATAGGAAATTAAAAAATGTTTCATTATGCGAAACCTTAGCTTCCTCAGAAAGTATTCTTGGTAATTCAAGTAGAGGAAATCAAGAAGATGTTATAGAAATGCATACAAATTGTAAAAATAGCAACGATTCTATACATCAGCATGATAATAATCCTTCAGATAATGGTACTATAGAAGCTATATCAAAAATAAAAAGTATACTAAATTTAGTTAGGAAATTTGAAAATGTAGAATTTAAACTAAATCTGTTGCGAAATGGTATGCATCTACAGAATGTAAATAGCACACAGGATATTGATTTAATGTTAAGTAAAGATGAAAGTAAATCAATAAATGTATTTGGTAACGTTTTAGAAAAAATAACTAAACTCCTTTTACCTAAAAAGAGTAAAAAAGCTAAAAAGTTTATGACGAAAGTAAGACATATGAATTTATTTGGTAACTCGGACGACATTAAAAAAGAATTGAAACAAATCATGGGGATCAATACTGATAATTTAAATTTAACGTCTAAGGACAAATTAGTAATAGATTATCTTAATATCTTTAAAATGAATCCCAATTGTGCATTTAAAGGACTAGCACAAAAAGATGCAAGCGCTTTGCCAAGTATTAAAGGCGATACATACGAAAATATATCAAAACTTTTAAATGTAAAGTCTATGGATGACATCGTTGAATTAATATCTCCATCTTCTAATTCAAATACAAAAAAGAAGGAGAAAGAATTAAAAAATATAACTACTGAGACCAACTTACAAACAAACAATGATAGAAATGAAGACGAAAAGTTCAATTTAACAAAAAACAAATTAAAAACACATATAACTGCAATTTTCAATGACCTTAAAGAGTTGCAAAATCAAAGTGGAACTTTCTTAGAGGAAAATAGAGATATTGTAAATATTCTGCCATGTCTATACAATTTGTTTAATTCAGCAAAAAGTGAAGCTAACGAAATAACAAAAGGATCTAAAGGTTCCAATTTAAATAATATAAGCCTAATATTTGAATCACTACGAAATAATCTTATAGGAGGTTCTGTCTCACGTAGAAAGGAATATACTCCTTTACCTGGATCTACAAAAGTATGGGAAAGAGTTATTAAAAATTTGAATAAACAAAGTAAAGCTTCACGAAGAAATTATAACAACGGACTTAAATCTTTTGACGAGATTAAACAAATAATAGATAATGTTGATATGTCATCGAATTCTTATAAAGAATATGCAAACTTAGTAAATGTACCAATTTCTAGTCATTTGATATTGTTAAAAGTTATTCAAGCTAGTGCTCTACAAATTGTGAATGCTTTGGAAAATATTAAATCGTTTGTAAAAAGTTACATTGAACTGCCGTCAGACGAGGAATTTGTTATTAAGAAATTTATAGATAACGCAGCAAAGAGTATTAACTTAAATAAAAGAATATCAGATAAATTAAAGACTTATAAGAAAAAATTACAACGCGAAGATCTCAGTAATTTTAGAGTAGAAACTGTTTACAAGCAAGAGATGCGCAATCCTGATTACAATGTTTTAGAAACTCCGACACACGGTCGATATGTAGAACAAAAAGTTGAATACAATCCAGTAAATGTCTTCACTAATAATAGATTTATAAATAAACCTAAGTTTCCTTCATATACTGTTGATAGAGATGATGATCGACAATCGTCCAATTATAAAACAATGAAAATCCAAGAAGTTGATATTAATGATTCTAATGTTTTTAAATTAACCAGAGATCAAATAATAAGTCAATTAATAAAGAATCGTGTTGAATTGTACATACGAATTAAAGAAGCCAAAGGAATTAAATCTAATCTTGATATCAATTATAATTTAGCTAAAAGGATAAGGACACAATTGGAAAGTGGAAATTATAGCTTAGCTAAAGAATTGTTTTCAGTTTTTATTACTAATACTGTTACGGATACAAATGAATTTAGTCCAAAGAATATCTTCAAAGGTAATGTATAATTTGATTTAGTGTACAGATTAATAACCTTTAAATTATTTTACAAAGCAGAAAACATAATATGAATTATGTCACCAGGGTTGTCGTCGCAGCATGTCAATGTCGATAAGGATGCAATTTTTCCGCTGCCGCAAGTCAACATGAAAAATACGAGAAACGATGTAAAATTTGTGGCATCAGAAGGCTTGTTAAAACAATTAAATGCATTGAAAGAAATTAGTTTTTGAAGCTTTTCACAGACTTCATTTGTTAAGATTTTTTTATGATTTATTAAAAAATACTGACTAAATATATATATATTTTTTTATTTTCGAAGTTAAAGTCTAATTTTAGTAATTCTAATTTTCCTCTGATGTTTCGGATAGCAGTGCTCGTTTGTCTCTTAATAATATAAGAGTCAAACTTTATAACAGTTACAGTTTTTTCGTGACAGTTTTTAAGTTTTTAGCCCCATTAAATTTTCTTTTTAAATAATTAGGTATTATATTTTTCATCCGCCTTATTGCTTTATTGAAAGCAGTGTTTGATCTTTTGATTCTGTTTAATATCCCTTTTGTTTCCTTTTGCCATTTAATATCTTGAATTTGTTTTGACAAATCGTCTTTGAAATTATTTTTGAAAACATTACTGAAGTCTTTCTTCGATTGTTTTAGTATTTTTTTTACTTGTTGTAAGAAAGATTTCTTTTTAGATTTTGGTTTTCGTGTTGTTACAGCTACCGGCACAAACTTTTTGACATTGACCTCATTTTGTTGTTTTAAAATTTCTTGCAGCTTAACATATACGATTTTTATATCCTCTCCGATTCTTGAGGCATAGCGTTCGCTGTTGTCTTTATCGAATAACATAAAACGTCTTGTCTGTGAGTTCTGTATAAAAGTTAAAGCATCATTAATTTTGGCGATATCTTTGGATATTTCTAAATGTAGCAACTTCATGCTGTAAAGACGATCAGAGAGGCGACTGGATGCAATGCCTCTCGTCATCTTATACCATTTGATTCCAACATCTTTTAAGTCATTTGCCATATTGTATTGTGGCTTTGGGATGCTTCGATTTTTTAAATTGTATTTTTCTACAAAATCGTAATTTACTAAACGATTCAGTATTTTCTTGGCTCCTGTAGACAATGGTGCTAAAGCATTGGAACGAGGCATTTCCTTATCTATCACGATGAGTACTTGTTTAATTACACTAGGAGCTGAAGACACAGCAAATTCATTTGAATTTTCCTCAATAAATTTCTTGTACATATTCATATTGTTTTCAGTGATTTTGTGAAATTCTTTCATGACATGCACTTTTCCTTGTTTATGAATATAATATTTCATAGCTTGAATTAATATGTTTAAGTTTTCAGGTAGATCTTTGTAATTGGATTGTTCTTGTATACCAATAATATCGCTGATTACTTCGTAGATGTCTCTCTCTAATTTAGATTCGTAATCATTCAAACTTAAAAGTTTATTTTGAGCCGAAGTCTTTTGAATTTCTGGTAAAATCTCCATTTTGTAAAAAGCTACATAAGCCTTTGTCAAGTTTTCTAGTAGAGTTTTATTAATTTTTAAAAACGTTTCGTTTCTTATGTACATACGAATATATTCTTGCAAATAGTCTCTCATGTTTTCTAATTCTTGAAGTTCATTGCGCTTTGTGTTGATAAATGCTAAAAGTGGATGGAGTACATTATCTGTGAGATCTTGTATTGAACGTTTAGAATTATTTAACAGTATTTGATTGCGTAAAGTTCTCGTCGTGTTTATGATTTGTCTTTTGACAACACGCACCGACTGCCTTTCAAGTAGATCATAAACTTCACGCGCTGCGGGTATTCCTTTTGGATTCGCGTCTAAATTGCTAAAATCTGAAAAAAGATTATCACTAATAAGTTTGTAAACAAAGTTACAATTTTCTTTTTAACGTTAAATTTTACTTTATCTTCATTTCTTGTTTTAAATTAATTAAAGTTTTGTTTAAATTGAAAAATTACCTAATATCTTATCAATGTCTCCTTTATCCATTTCAGTGACATTTTCGTCAGGGATGTCGATGTAATCTGTATCCAGTATTTCTTCAGTATGATTTTTCAGCATCGGTAGAAGCAGTTTAGCGGCGTCCCCGATGCTTAAGTTATACTCTGGGAACAAGTCATCCAAGTCGAAATCGGTATGGTCCAACAATTCATTTTTCTCGGTGGCATCTAGAATTTCAAAATGGTAATAGACTCAAGTTTTAACTTTCATCTAACTTCTAACTAAAAATATTTCAAACTTACTCGATAATTCAAAATTTTCGGTGACTGCATCCCTTTCAATGTCAACTGTGTTTAAATCATTATTTTGACCAGATTGTTTAATATCAAACGTGTTGTTAAATACATTTATTAATGAGGATATTTCTTGTGATGTAAAGTTTTCTTCTTTCTCAGTTCCTTTCGGCGACACCTTTGTCTGAATCGAACGTTTTGTTTTGGTTCTGATGCTCCTTGGGGCTGACAAAGCACAAACAAATTAATACTATACATAACTAAATAAATAAATGATTTTACAGTAGTCTTCTTCTAAATAGTCACAGCGCATCATTTTTATTACAAGATCCTTCTCCTTCTGAAAAGGAAAATTGTCTTCATAAGTGCAAGATTGAATTTGATAGAACTTACAATCGTCAATATACTCCATGAGTTCGACTAGCAGATGGTGGTCTACATCCAGGGGAGGCTGCTGCCGGCACTGCTGCCATCTCCTGCATTCCCAGTTGCCTGCCGGAGAGCACGAGCACCGCGTGCATCCCAGACATAGATTATCTTAAAGAAAATAGACTTGATTAAAGATTAAATATATAAAAATTTATATTTTTTTCCTTTAAGGTAGATGAGTCCAAGATAGAGATGTCGATTCACTTTTGATGCTTTCTGGCTCTCAACAGAAGTTATACTTACATTATAACAAGTCAAGTCAAGGATTTAGTACATTACAGTGTCCTTTGTTTTTGACATAAAACAATAGACTGTGGAAAGTTAATTGAAACTTACGTTTGTTGCAATTTGAGTAGCTGGATATGTCTGGTACACATTGACGGGTCGCGCGGGATTCTGAAAATATAATTTTCTTTTGTTTTTTTTTTCATAGCAAAAGGTGGTACACGAGCAAGCGGCCAAAATAACTAAGTGACCGTTGCCCATGAACGCAATGAAACAGGAAAATCCCTATCTATGCATCTCAGCTAAATCCGTCTCCCCTTTCTGTCTCTTCCTTATAAGAAAAGTGGGGAAAAGAAAAGAAGACTAAAATTAGGCCTCCAACACGCACATTTGTCATCCACGTCATGCATGTCTTCTGTCTTTGATTCGGCTCATTAGTGCAAAATATATTATTGGCTTTACCACTGTATAGTTTAAATCTTTCTGATAAGATTATTAATGAACAGTTGAATCTTAATAATCTATTTGGAATAATTACGTAATTATGCGTACTAATCTGAATTTAGTAATTAGTGAAATATTCAATTGTTTGAAGAAACAATGAAATGTTACGCTGCGTCGTGGCCACTGAATAAAGCTGTGTGTAAATTATATTACGATACTATTATACAATATTTGTTTAGAGAAACGTAAATTAACAGAATAACAACTGAGACAATTTGCTAACGAAAATATTTTCTTTTCATTTTTTATTACAAGTTCAGAGCAAGATAGAAAATCACATGGAACATAAATAAAATTTCCATAAGCTAATCATGGCTGGTTACTGGATGATAAGATTAATGTTTAGATCTTTTTGTCTAATTCTCGGAAAAGAGTGGATCCAGCCATGAACATCTATTTGAAGAAGGTGAAGACAACAATTGTGCGTTAGCCATGCCAATATATCAACGAACCTTTTATAGTTAAATCGTATAACAACTCGTCTACTTCAGCTTTAATCGCGGGATTGGTTACCACTTTATCTTGACACTCAACTTGCAGCATTCTGTTGATCGCCCTGTAGTATTCACATTTCGCGTCGTCCATTTTAAGGCAGTCGTAAGCGTCGCATATTGTGCATTGATACGGAGTCGATCTGCGGTAGAACAATGGTCCAGTTTCTGGATAACGGAATGCTTCGGTATTTTGTGTTTTTATTTCTGAAATCAACATTTAATTTTACGGAATTTACTTCACAAACATACTAAAACCAAACACATTTATTTCGTCGCCATTTTGTAGCCCAAATGGTTTCGCTGAACATAAGTTTTGATGTTATCATATCTCATAAACGGAAAAGGGTAGAGATTATGTAATATTACCATAGTTAATTTTAAACTCAATTAACTAACTTGTGCTCTAGGGAAATATATCGAATTTCTTATCAAAATTTATCAAAATTAAAAACAAAATCGGTTAATCAGGTTAAATTACAGAAATTTATAATTTAACGGCCTTCATTAGCACTTAAAGCATTAGCCTCCTCTTTGTTTTAGAAAAAAGAGAATTAAACGAAGTTAAATCAGGAATCAGCAGTCAGGAGGTATTGTAAAGAGCAGGGCCAAGTTCGTTCCCAACTTTTGCATTCTTTGTAAAGTTTTTTAATATTCCAACAAGAAGGGGAGACTAAAGCTTTAGGCTTGTTTAGTACTAATATAAATTATAAATTAATATTAACTCATTTTTCTAAAAAGTGCTATATTAAAAGATGACTTATTTCACCATAACGCTATATTACGTATTACCAAAATATATAAGCCGCTATTTATGATTTGAAATCAGTAAAATCTCGTGTACTAAGCAAATTGTTTAAGGTGCGAAGAAAAATATCCTTATTTTGAAGTCAGTATCAAAACATAGTCACGTGTCGGATACGATCGTGTGACGTCACAGTTCACGACTGAGGTCTACGCTACAGGTGAGGTTACGGATAGCAAAGGAAGTCTTACCTTGTATGGTCACCAGCAGGAAGAACACCAGACGGTACATTGCGACGACGTGACGCGACAACAATGGGAGATCGTATTTCGCAACAACTAGGTGTGTTTATGCAAACGTAACTTTTTAAATGGAACGGACTTGGGACGACGATAAATCTAGATATAGGCCTACTGAAAATAATGGATAAAGGAACCTGATAAAATCAATATGTAAGAAACACTAGCTCTTTAGTAAATACTAAGTCATTAAATAATGACTTCTTTAAAGCATTCGATGGATTAAACTGTAAGGTATGTTTTGGAGACTTACTAAACTAGACATTGGAGAATTAAAAATATGTGGTCTTCTAAATTTATTTAGTTGTTGTCCTAATGTAACACATTACTGTATATATTTATGTCGTATATAACTTTTTCTCTTGGATGTTCTTCAAGGATCCATTTTTGGGTCTATTATGATTAATAGAATATTTCTATAAAATCTAAAATTTTAATTATCCGTTTTCATAAATTAAAAACGTAATTTCCTACTTTATGCATGTTGATTCTATAGCTGGCTAGTGCTTGTTTTGTTCAAATTTGATATGTGATTATAAAATTTAATAGAAATTTTGATGTTCTAGATCCAACTCTGTGCATGGAATGTGTATTACGGAGATGTTTACAAACAAGTGCCGTGTGATGTTGGCGGCATTGTTTCGCGTCGCGTAATGCGTCGCCGACCGCCTCCAGAGAATGCTGTTGCTCCTGCTACTCTTGCATAACGTGATCGCTCATGGTGAGTTACTCCTCTTTCTTTCTCTTCTCAACTACAGCTCTATTTCATGATCTTCCCCTCGATCTTTAGGATATGAGATCTTTATGTCACATCCATATATCTACCCCCGTCTCCCTAATTTGTTTTTTAATGTTGTTGGGAATGTAAATTAAAGAATGTATTATGTTAAGGTAGGCTGATATTCTTTATTTATTAAAAAACCTGCGATTCAAAAATAAAAGCTTTTCATTCAATTTGTTTTGATCTGTTGATTTTATTTTCACAGATTTTCAAACAGATGCGACATACTCAGTCAATGTTACGGACAAATGCCCTGACGATGGATATTACTACAAAGAGGATATGTCTTCAAACGAAGTGGACGGCGTCTGTCGTCTTTGTTTCTGCAAGAATAATACTGCTGTGTGCTGGCTTAGACCAAAATCTCAATGTCATACGAAGATGTATATAAGAATGGATAAAAGGTTTCTTGGTTTTTGTTTTTTTAGTATTTATTATAGCTATTGTTTTATGAATTCACATATTTGTGAATTGATCAATTTTCGTAAGGAAGAATGTTGATTGATAACTGATACAAGTAATTTGCAAACTACCGGCATTTGTTTGTTCAGCTATGCCTTTCCTGTTTGAAGACAGTACTGTAGACAATGAATAACTTCCTTTGTTAGCTATTGATGTTTTCAGTCGACACTGGTCTTTCTAAATATTCTTTGCAACCCCTGAATACCGAGGTATTTGGATAAAAGAAATTTTTGTAAAACAAAATACTAACTAAATATTTATATTTACAGCACCGGAAGAAATAGGAGAAGTCCAGATGCAAATGTTGGGGTAAAATATGCTGTAAAAAACTGTGAGAAAACTTGCTTTTCCTTATTAAATTGTCACAAAACATTTTTGTCGTAAATTAAGCAAAACAATCAATAAATTTAACTCGACAATTGATCGACAATGTCAGTACATATTTGTGTTGCAGTGCATTATGTTTAGTTTTCAGTAAGAAGACTTCGCACAGCTGTAAGCCACTCGGCACCACACTCAGTGATGACTGTCCGCCTGGTGAGTTCCGGCTTACGAAGGACCAACTAAAATTTTACCGCACATATACACAATACCGAATTTTCACTCTTTCACGAACAGACTCTCTGTAGAAATCCCTCATCAATATGAGGAAGGAAACTCTTTTATGGCAATGCTGTACACTTTATCTTGTGATTATAGTTTAATTGTCTACGAAAGAGATGGCGGTGTCTATTGATTTCAGATGATTGGTGTCTCGGCTGCACGGTATGCGATTGCGAGAGATCCGGCCTCTGGAACTGTCACATTTTGAGTTTCTGCTCCGATAGTAAGTAAACTTTAAGTTCTTTAATTACCTATCGATTAAAAAATTAATATGTGAGTTGCATCAATTTCATTAAAAAAATGCAATAACATAATTTACTTACAGGAAAACTGAAGAAACATTATCAAAACAATAATAACACGATCAAACGAACACCAGTGGAGATACATTCCAATTTGGACAATCAAAATAAAATAAATTCTACTAAAATGCACAGACTAGCGAGAAAAATGAACGTAAATCATAATAACGTGAAGTCGTGGCGTCAAGACTTTTCAACAACATATCAATATCCATATTCAGCAAAACACGACGACAATGTAGTTGTATTCCAGAAGGATCTAGTAGAACGAAAGTCTAAAGACATACAAGGTGTTAGAATTAAAAAGATTATAAATGAAAACAACGTTAATGCCAGATTAAATCACAAAGTAGTTCAGAGAGCGATGGCTGCAGTTCAGAAAATAATTAATAAGACAGAGAGAAATTTCACAAATTCAACAAAACATAAGGTGATTCATAAACGATCAATGCCGCAACACGACACTAAAAATAACTATCAACATCAAACAACTTACGTAAGTCCACATATGTATAAGAAATCTAGTCCTAAAAGATTTAGAAAAAAGTTGTCACTCAATAAAATAACAAAGGAAGAACTTAGGAAGAAAAGAATAAGAAGAAATACTGTAAACCAAGGTAATTGTCTTATTTTAAAGTCTTTTTCAAATATTCTGAATGTCGTAATAGCTACTTAATTTTTAAGACTTATTGTGTGACTAAATTTATTTCAGCTAATTTTACGACAACGACAATTATAATAGATTACAATAATACTTTAAAATCACCAAAAGAAAAAGTATTAAATGAGAAGCCAATAAAATTAAATGAATACGAATATTACAAATATAATGTAGTTACAGAAGGAAACTACGATTTAGCAAATAATGATGGAATTAAAATAAAACATCTAAGTTACAATTACACTTATGGAAACAAAACTATTCAACTTCTAAAGAAAACATCGCAAAACTTAACTGGAACAAATTTATGTTCTAGTACTAATGAAGTAAATTTATCAATATGGCACGATGTGAAAGACAAGAAACAAAAATTCAAAACCATAAATATAACAGATATAAAATATCTCACTACTTCAGAAAATATTAACAACACATTGGATTATAATCAAATGAATCTGCAAAGAGACAATAATAAAATTCGTTTTGATGATTTCGGTCTCGACAAAGAGAAGGGAGGAACTAAAGAATCCAGTGAAACTGAAGATTTGACTTTAATAAATAATATGCTTAATAGTAAAGGAATTTTACAGCATGTTTTTAAAAAACAACCAAGAAATATATCAAAAAATAGAAATATCGGATCAAATTTTGATTTCATTGGCAATCTAAGGAGTCTTTTTAATAATATATTTTTCAAAAGTAAAAATGGCTTTTATACAAACAACGACAAATTAAAATTATTTGATAAAAATAGTTTAGTAGAAACATTTTGTGTCAAAAACGTAACTTGCAAAATTTATCCTAGAGACGAAATTAAATTGCAAATAAAGATAAATGAGTTAAATGGTGAAATGTACAAGGTCATGGAAACTATTAAAATAATAAAAAAACTTTTGCAACAAATGATAAATAATAAAATCGAAGCTGTCGACTTAAACTTTAAGCCAATTATGAGTAATAATTGTAGCAAAAACGGCACACATAACAAACTGAAGGAAAGACAACTTCAACTGTATTATATCAAGGATAGCATTAAAACTTTCATCAAATCCATTGGAAAGTTCTCGTATATTCTACAAGATATCATTTACATTTTGACTGATAAGAAAAATATGACAAATAATAAACAAAGGTTACCACAAAGACCTTTGCGCTGCACAAAGACAAATGAAGTTGGTAAATCTAATTCTAAAATAGCAATTGCTGAACAACGGTTTAAAAAGATTAAAAAAGTTTTAGTGGATTACAATGTATTACAAAATACGTTCATAAAAAAAGTTTATAATATGCTAACAAAATTAGAATCCAATTTAACTCACACTGAAAAGAAAAGGAAATTGAAGAAACCAGAAAAAATTGACGATAGTGATTTCTCTACAAGCCTTGCTATCGATACATTTACGAAGAATATTATTAATAATCTGAGAAAGCTGAAAAATTTAGCTAAAAAATTAAGTTCTGCAACAACAAACAGAAGAAAGAGGAGTGCAGTTGGTGACGATGACGCAATCGAGTATTTATTAACAATAATGGAATATTTACTTAAACAAAACTACCCACTGGATGCTACTCCTGGTATGATATACATCTTATCGTATCTTGTTACTGTTAGGAATAAAATCCGACAATGCGCCGGTGTATCGGCGTAACACTAGCCTTGTTGAAGTGTCAACGTTTGTGTCCCCTCACTGATCGGTCTGACGCTTGGCTTGGTAACGGGGGCGCCGGGGGATTTAGCTAATAATGTCTCAAATTATTTAGCTTTTTACTCTAATCTGTATCCTCAATTCCCTATCTATACGATGCATAGTAATATTTGTGTTTTATATTTCAGTGAATGATGGCATTGATTTATTAATAGATGCAATTAAACATGCTCCTGACATAAAACCAATTAAGAAAAAAGTTCTTGATGCTTCTACAACAAGAACATATCCGTGGCCAACGGAAAAAGCAACCGCTGAGACATTTTCGTATGTAGATAACATCTATGGATTGGATAGCTTGGACAAAGATAATAATGATACCTCTGGTTCTGACGACAATCAAATTACATTCTCAAAGTCAACGGATGATGGTAACGATAAAGTAGAAGATTTCCAGAAACTTCTACATGCTTCTAAGAAAATTAGTAATAGTTTCAGATTATCTAATTTTAATAATATTCTTAAGAATGCCAAGTTAAAATCGATGTCATCAACATCCGCTACTATTGTTACTACGACTCCAATGATACAATATGATTTTCTCAAAGACAATATTGCAGAGTCCGATACAGAGACATCTGTAAAAATTGGACCTGGAATTGCAAATGATGACCGAAATGATGTTGACAGTTTCAAATCATTCAACAACGAGAATAAACCAGATAATGAAGAATTTCCTCCGAATCTAATAAAACTCAATGGAGACAGTGACGTGGAGATTCAAGTAACACTTCCAACACGAACAAAAGCAACGCCGAGGACAACTCGTAAATTCCATCATATGGTTCGCGATAAGTTTGATAATCCTAAAATTATAACATACGTTGGAAAGCCTACAAAAAAATCAAAATTTGGTTGGGTCGATTATGATTTAGGTGACGACGGAAGCAAAAAAACTGAAAGGAAAATATTTTCTAAATCCACCGAACGATCAACGGCGCCTGGAGGCGCTTCAAAAAATCGAGCTCTCTCTACAGCTGATAAGAACGACGTTAGTGCTATATCTAAAGAAATAATGGACGAAGAAAAGAGGAAACAGTTTTATAAATTATTGCCGAACTCTGAAGTAAGAAAATTTACATCGCGCAATATGTTGGACGTGACGATAAAGTCAGAAGTAGATTCAGATTCAAAAGATACCGAAGGTGAAGATACTTATGTCAATGACGTATTCCCTTCGTACCTTACGTAGTTAGCATTTTGCAAAGGAACAATATTTAATGAGCTCTGTTTTTATCTATTAATTATTTTTATTTTAACGACAAACTTGTTCATTAATATATATTACGGTAGAACTTCACTGCAATGACATTTTTGTTAATACATATTCTCATCTCTTTCATTCTGAAGAAGAAGAAGAAGAAGAAGATTGACAATACAACGTTAATAGTCTTGAGATTCAAGCGTTTGCAGAGCGAGACAAACGTATGCATTCCCCATAAGTTTGTCTCGCTCTGGAACGACTGCCGAAAGTTGTTGGTAAGATTCCGGTTTGTCTAAACGAACATTTATGATTTAACGTTGAAATGTAATTAAAAAGAGCATTTTACAAGGTACTAATTATTATTTATATATAATACAAAGCAAGATGATATTTGTTAAAGTTATTATTTAAATATTAAAATATAAATAAAGGTATGATTGAATATTAAGATATGTTCATCACATACATCATATAATTGCCAAATGACGTACAATAACCTCACAGAGATGTTAAATAGTAATTCTCTGATTCTGTCTGATTAGTTTTACAATACGTATGTGTTTCCTATCGTCATGTTTGCTGTTTTGTTAGGCGATATTTAAATTAAAATATTATATAAAATATTTAACGGAATTTTTGTTTTATTATCAACATCAACTTACTGGAACTGGAAAGGCTGGAAACGTTACTTTTATAATTATTAGAGACAAAGAAAAATATACATAATTGAGGACACAAATTCTAGATGTATCTTCTTCTTGTGGTGCCTCTCCGACTAACGAAAGTTGGCGATCAGTTCTCCATATTCTAGATGTATGCAGCGTAGGAAATAACTAAAATGGATCTCATAAAATGCACCCCACAAAGGACCAAATTATACAACATGTGTAACTTAGTTATGTTAAAGTATTATAGAGTTAAAACTCTTACAGTGTAGTCTAATTATTTATGTTATCTAGCTGCATCTATACATTAATTACAAAGTGTCGGTTGTGCAAGGAGGTTGCAGCGTTCTGCATCGTCGCCTCCTTCCGTTTGCTTTGCTGCTCTCTTGTATCGTTTAATTACTTATTGTCCTTCGTACCCTTTCGTATTCGAAATAATTTATAAAGTGTCTACAGCTATAATTTGTTTCATAAGTAAAGTAACCACAGATAAATTCCTTCCGGATCATTCGTTTGGACCTTGTTTAGACGCACGTCACAAACTACGGTCTACTTGTTTTACGGCCTTCGTTGTTTAATAAAATGTAAAGTACATTATGATTTGATGAACTAGTTATTTTGCTCTGGTTTTTAGTGTTTTTTTCTTTCGATATTTTAACCTTTTGTCAACAAAATGTTTTGTCTTTGGTTGTAGGGTAGGTTTTATATTTTTTATAGAAGTTTTTATTATTTTATACCTATATTAGTTATAACTCTTGTTTTCTTTACCTTTTGTTATTGTTTTCTGGGTAGAAAAAATAAGATTTTGATTTTTTTATATCGACTAGGCTTGTGTTGTTAATAATGTTGCTAATAATTATATTATTAACAAACATTCATATTAACTTATGTTTCTAAGCTGTAGCGGCTTCGCCCCGCCATATAGCCATTTACCACGACCTTACGTTCCCGCTCAAGTTTGACATTTCACCGCGTTTTGGCGCCAAAGCTGCCCGTCAACCGCAAACCGCAATTCCTTTGTACGCGAATTATTTTTCGGTTTTGTTTTCGACAAGTGTTTTTTTTTACATCGTTTTTTTATTCCAAGCAATTAATATTTTTTGTTGACTGTGTTTGTGTTGTTTATGAGTTTGTTTTCATTTAATTTTTGTTTATTTTCTGTGAAATATTAATCATCAGGTTTGTTTCATATTTCAATAATTTAGTTCAGATCTTATTAAAAGAAATATTAAGTATTATCGTTATTTAAATAATATTGAAGTAACGTAAGTATTTAATTAGTGTTTTGTTATGACTCGGTCCGCTGTTATAATAAATCTCGCTTATATTCCATAAAAACTTTACAAGAATCATGAAATGTTTGAGTACTTTTATTCATATAATATTTTCTAATAGAATAGACCTTAAATCCTCATTTAATAATATAAGTACTAAGTAATAATAAACAATAAGATTACTAAGTTTTTTTATCTCATACAAAATACTATAAAGATGTGAGTGTATATATACAAAAGAAAGTCGTGTTAGTTACACTATTTATAACTCAAGAACGACTTTACCGATATGCCTGAAAATTGGTGAGGAGGTAGCTTAGAGCCACGCGAGACTGACATAGGATGCATTTTTTTCTTCTAATTTATGCCTTGAAGAGATGCTTTTTATTTAATTTATCTCTTAGATATTAAGTTTCGTTATAACGGAGTCGCGGGCGACAGCTAGTTTTATATATGTGCAAGATAAATAACGACACAACTCAACCGGTTATAATAAATCGTATATTACTAGTATGTTATCCTGTAACAAAGGCTATATTGTTGTTAATATGAAATACAATTAGTTGAGCTCTAAGCGTGTGTCGCTTTGCCAAAGTCATACATCTGAATTGTTGCATAAATAATATTAGTAAATAAAAAGATATATAGAATTCTTATCAGTGTGTAAGGCAATAACTCGAGCACGCAATACGATGACTCGGACATTCGGCGGAATGTCATGGCCGAGCTGACAGCGGACAGCCGACAGCCGACACGCAACAGAAACATATGAATTAAGAAATGCTGTTGAAACCGCGCCCAATGCTCTCACCACTTTGTCGTTACAAAATATAGTAACACTAGCTTGATATATGATATTAAACTTTGAAATATATCTCAATGTGAAGTATTAGTAAACATTAATGCATTATCCAAACACTGAGGGATGTCAGTTTCGTTACTTTACTTTGAGAGCGTTTATAAACAAAATTATTTGACCCAGTGGTCATAACTAAAATTAAATTATGACAGCTCACTAACGCCGCCCCTGTTAATGTCAAAACAGTGTTACCAAGCTTGTCCTGTTTTATTCTTTATAATTTTTAAATGCTTATAGGTTTGTAGGTTTTCTGCCAAGACTTGTCGCATTATAAATCTTTGTTTTTGGAACCAAAATGACGTTGAAACTAAATACATTTTAGTCTTTTCTTTCAACACCAATGAAGATTTTGTTAATTGAATATGTCTGTTATTTAAATCCGTTATATGCTTTAATGTATTCGTAGGGTGTAAAGGTGTCCGATAAATTATAAATGAGTGTCGACATGACATATGGGGAAAGAAAATTGCTTACAATCCATATTTACGTAACTAAGATAGGTTAAAAAGCTCGCAGTAGGTCGAGGGTAGCAGCTTGATGTTACGATGTTAATCAAATAAACTCCAACTTGTATGATGTATCAAACATAACAAATTGCTATTTATATTAACTTTCTAAGAAAATACGGCATTTGCTAGTTTCAACTGTTTTACGTTGACTTATTTTATAAGTTTGATTTACATGTACCATACACAAAGTTTTTTGTTGACTCAGTCCGCGGGGAATTAAAAAAAAACTTAATTAGTAGCCTATGTATTCTTCTAGATTATGTTCTACCACTATTCCAAATTTTAATAAGATACTACAATGATTGTTATGAGTACGGAGAGTGTATTGAACCACTGTTGCTGTATTTTTATAATAAAAGTTATTTTAAAATACTATCAGAAAGAGTTCTCTCTATATCATCATCTTCCAATTCTTCTCCGACTCACGTAAGGTCTGCGTACTAGTTTTCGTCCACCAAATCGATTTTTCTTCCATCATTTCAGTCGTCACTTCTTTCTTAAGCATTACACCTTACAAGTGATCCATTAACCTCTTCCTATGCCTACCTCTACCTAGTATACCAATATATCTCTTCACTTTTGTATTTGAAGTTTAGAATTCTCTAATCTATACTTTTGACGAGGAATTCATACCACTGCTTGTCTTACAAAATATGATTACAAGCCGTGAGAATCTTTTTAAATTTAATTGTTTTCAATAGTCATCAATTATTTAATTTACCGGTTCAATGTCAAATACCTTAGAGTTGTGTAACTACTATTTACGAGTATTAATTAACTAACAATTAACTTAAATTGCACAATCTGTTAAATTGCATTTAATAAATGTTTTACGCAATATAAATTTAGTTGAGGTTATATTAAAATGTAAATGTTGACAGTTATTTCGTACGCGCGGAAAAAAAAACTTTAGTATCTGTGTTCTTCCAGACTATGTTATACATCTATGTAAAATTTTATTAAGATTTATGCAGCCGTTTTGGAGATACCTTGTAACAAACATCCATCAATTCATCAAAACATTCACATTTTTAATATTAGTAATATAAGGACGTTGCTTTTTCTTCCATAATATAGTAAATGCCGTCTTTCTTCCCGGAATGCAGGAATAAGGACAGAAGTTGATAATAAAAATACTGGGGATTTAAACTTATAAATTTTATTACAGCTAATAATATAATTTAACTTTAAATTGAATTAATACAGATATACAGAACAATATCATTATTTAAAAACCTAATTTAACAACACACAAAGTTTTCGATTACTATTTTTTAACTTTTTGTTTTGAATCAGTCATGTAGTTAGCGACTTAACGTAAATAAAGCCACAAAGTCCACACCTCTGGGAACATTCGTTAATTGATAACTTAACCGAGTACTTAACTGTTAACTTACATAAGTCAATTAACCATCCATTTGCGGTTGGTAATGACCTAGACATGTTAGGATACGGAAATTTTGATGAATACAATTTTTTTTTGCGTTAATATTTTCGCTTGTAAATATTTCAGTAAACGTCAGACAGCCAGCAAAAGTAAAAGCCGATCAGAAGGTTATTGTTACAATATCTACAGAACATACGGGAACATTCTCTGTTTGTTATTTTATAACGTTGTTAATAATAAAATTATATTTGTTAATAGCAAGTTATGCGATGCTATACAATATTATTACTGTTGATAATAACAATATTATTTTGTGGATTCTACATATTTTGTAATTGTTTTGTTTTTTAATTTTTTTTTGTTATTTTATTTAATAATTTGAAATATATAAATCTTAGTAGTATATATATAATATCTTGTGGTCGTATATCTATGTATTTAAAGTATTATACTTTTATATAATTTCTTGTCGTTATATATATCTGTATGTTCTCCATCAAAGTCAATCAAACGTAACCAACATTTAGCAATGTTTTGTCTATTGCTTTCAGCTCAGCGCTGACAATATCGTTAAATTTTTTTTGTTCAATAAAATCTCTAGATTTTTTTTTTGACGAACAAATCCTTATAATCTAATAAAGTAATTTAATATCGTACTTATTTTTCATAACGTAAATATCTTGTCCGATTTTGAAGTAAAAAGGTTCGATTGACTGATATTTTTTTAAATAAATTACACAAGCATAACGTACAGCCAGATACATATTTTGATGTAATCAATCAATTTTTTGTGTTAAGTACTAGCTCCTTTATTTTATGGTAAACTTGGTATTCTTTGCCTTTAAAAATAATCTGTATTTTCTCGGCATGTCATTACTGACTACGATAAATAAATCGGGACCTAGATTAGTGCCCTTAGGTAGCTCCGGCGAATGCAAGAATTCACCGCTCACTTATTTACCATGAACAGGTTTGTAAAACTATTCCAGAGGTGACCAACCTTTTTATAACAGTTTTTATTTAAACGTTCCACTTTCGTAAGATCTATACTGAAATATCCTTCTCATTCTATTTTCGAAAATTTCGCTCATTTTCCAAATCCACGGTCACGAAACTTTTTGTTTATGCCTTATCTATAGTGTAGTCGTAAAACGGACGAAAATAAAATTTTTAGTAACTAAAGTGCTTTACATTTTTCTTATTTATTTATTTGTTTATTGACCTTATAATTGAATATATATTCAAGGTAACTATTTATTTTATATTCGTAGTTGATATAAAATGTTGATGACCCCTGATTTGTACTAAACTTGTTTATTCCTTTTATAAACTTCTTTAACTTGAAGTATTTTGATTAAAAGTATATCACCTTATTAGGTTTTGTACAAGTTAAAACTTTAAATCAACCTTTAGGATGTGAATATTTATGTAAACAAATAATTAATTCGCTTAAAGGCTTTATTTACTTAAATTAGTGAGCTAATGAACAATTTTTATTAAATGTAAAATTACCAATTGATTGTAGCTATTGTGAAAATGTTATTATGAAGTAGAGACATTTTATCACACCTTTAAATTATATTACTTCTTACTAATATAAATGCGATAGTTTGGACGGATGGATGGATGGAACCGCTCAACGGATCTTGATGAAATTTGGCATAGATGTAGAACATACTTTGGAAGAACACATAGGCTACTTATTAAGTTTTGTTTAAATCCCGCGCGGACGGAGTCGCAGGCTACAGCTATTTTTTTTAAAATGTCTCAGGCGTGTTTGGTTACTTGGTTAATTGAAGCAAGTATATATTTAGAGATAACATCGATTGAGTAACAATTTGGTTATGTGATACTCCTTCGGTTAATCGTAATTACGTAAATTTCTAGAAATCGTGCAAGCGTGACTTTTTACTTTAAAAAAGTGTACTTCCACACTGTCGGGAATATTTTCGTATAAAATAAATATAATGAAAAAAAGTTAGCCAAAAACTTCATTGGGTGTTTGGCATAAGTTAAAGGTTTATCAGTTTTGCCGTTGGTTTACGAGAATATCTGTAAAAACATATAATCTTTGACAAAATAGAGATAACAATGTTTATTTTAATTGGGATTTTGATCTTAGAAATCCACGATTAGTCACAAAGTTTCTCTGCATAGCTAAGAACAAACAATACGTTTAAAGTTGTAATACAACATTTATTAGAGCGTGAGAAATCTTTACACTCACTATATTAAAATAGGGAATCATAAAATGGATGTCATAGATTATAAATATTATAAGATACGTCACGACAGAATGTGACGTATTTATTTTGTTACATTTAAATGGAATCCTTGCGTTGTGCAACTAATTAATGAGAAGTGAATTTTGCGCTCCGCTTTGTTTAATATACAAAAGATTATAAAATACATGCATCATTATGTGAATTATCTGATTGAATGAAAAACTTGGCCTTTTGATTTCTTTTGGATAGTTGATTAGATTTATGATCTTAATCTTGAATGTAACCTTTTTTTTTAATTTAACTGTTGCAATGAGAATAGATTATTTTATGTACAGAAAAAAATATAACTGTTATAACGTGACGTTCTTTTAAACAAAAATGTGTTACAAAAGTCGTTCAAACTCTTTACTTATACATACTAATGCATCAAATTGTGTCCCTTTTTGTGTACTTCTAGTTTAAGTTTTAATTAATAAAAACTAAAGGTGTAGGCTACAAAGTACGCGTGTCTGTCTGCGTAGTTAATCTTTGTTAGATGCAGTGCAGCGCAAAGTGAGCGGGAATTGCGCAGTAAATCGAATGCGTGTATAAATTTATCTCGCTTATATTACTACAATATTGATTTTTGTTACAAAATGCAGCGTGTGATCGACGTTATTATATTGTATAGTCATTACTATTAATAATCATAGTCAGGCTTCATCCCGCTTGAAATATCATTCATTTATGTTCTACAGAAAAACTTTGTTTTATTGTTAACATTGCGTAAAACTTTTAAATGTCAAAATTCAAATGCTCAAATGACGACGAAGGTCTTTCCCATTGGTTGATATTTACGTTACTATGGCAACCTTCCATCTTTACTTGTATTGGCTTGCAATTGTTGTCCCTTTCTTGCAGATAACTTTTATCCAGTTAATTCATCCGATAAATGTGTACTGCGGTACGTCATAAAAATACGCTATAATTGATGACATTCTATATAACAAAAAGTGTGTGTTTACGTGTTTATTAAATTAATATAAAATGATAAAATGAATAATAGTTGGTAATATTTAATTTGATTTTACAAACTCCACGGGCCTTTAATTCATAAAAGCAATTTGTATAGCCTCTATAATGTCAACAAACAAATCATTTTACACAAAACATACCTGTTTAATTCGTCCAATGTTTATTACGTAGAATTCATTTAATAAATTGTATATAAGTATGAAATGAATGTGGGCATGGAAAAATATGTCTCGTTTATTTTTAAACAATGTAGTTTTCCGTGATGTCTTATTTTTTGTTCGGGTTTATTTATATGTATAAGATGTTTATTATAAGTGTATTTTAACAAAAATAAGTACTGATAAAATCTAGACTACGATATTTACTAGTTAATTTTTGACGAGTGAATGATTTAAAAGGTGGATGGTATTATGCATTATATAAAAAGAAGCAAATTAAAATGATATATGATTTATTTTAAATCGCAATTGACGTTTCATTAAATATTTTAAACAATCCCATTTGTTTGCTGACCTTACAGCGAAGGCTTTGTATGGAGCAATGTGTGCTTACTAGTTTGCTTGTTTCTACAACTATTGTGACAATTGTGTTAAAAATGAATGGATAAAATGTATAGTATAAAAACAAATATTACTTAAGTGTTATGTTTGCAGTAAAATCCAAGAAAGTGCAACTTTAATCATGCGAAAAAAAATGTCAATAATAATAAGGTTTTTTGTTTCAGATGGTCGACAGATAATGTACCATCCTGTGCGTAGAAAAATGAAGAATTTCGTTAACAGTGCCATATTTATTTTATGTTTAGTTACACCAACATTAACAAGCCCGAGAGCGTTTGATGTTCCATTCAAAAGAAACGACAAAAAGCAAGAAGATTTCGATAATAATATCATAGATTTTGATGATGAATATTCAATTAAGTTAAATAAAAATTATGACACAACATCATGGAACAATATAGATAGTAAACAAAGAGATTCATATAGATATACTATTGTAAAAGATAAGCTTATTAATAGAGATAAAGAATTAAACCAAAATCAAACAGATAAAGTAACAAATATTACTCAAGCAACAAAATCTGTAGAAGAATCAACAGAGTTATCAGAATTTAGTGTTATACCACTAGAATTAGTTAGTACTACTGAAAATATATTACTAAGTGTAGTAGAAAGTACGACTGATACGGATTTAACAGTAATACCACTATCAACAACGAAAACAATATTACCAGAGTTTGATATTCATCAAACTGTTACATTACCAGTTTCAACGCAACCATCTGAAGATTACACTCCGACAACTGAACATAATGATGTTACGACAAAGTTTATTGACAATGAAACAAATCATACAACACTAAGCATAGAGTTCACAACTCATTCAAATAATGAAAGTGCAACACTACTAGATGTTGTAGCAGCTGAGACGATCAGAAATAATAATACAAAACTCGAGTTCGAAGTTCGAAAAGAAAATAACTCTACAGATAAAGTAGACGTTACGACATTTACAACTGAACACGAGATTATTAATACTTCAACTACCATCGAATCTATAAATCGATTAGATGAAACTACTGAATCTAGTGAAACTACTGGGTCTAATGAAGAGGAGGTACCAATATTCACTGAATTAGATACAGAAGAAGAAGAGGAAAAGGATGTTCCAGAAGATTATTACGATTCCAAAGATATTGTTCCTACAATTGCACCAAAAACAGACGCTCTTTCAGTGATATTTGGCTTCGCTGGCAGCGTTGTGGAGAGCGTTGTAGAGACGGTCGCTGAAAGAGTGGTCCCAAATTGGATTTACGATATTTATAAACGAATGCAGAAGCAAAGTGAGGCTTTGGAAGCTGAAAAGTTAAGAAGTAGAGAAGAAAATGGTGGATTGGGTAAGCTTGATATTGAACATTTTTTTTTATTTGAGAACTATGTTGTCTGATTTAAAATATTCTGTAAGTTACGTGAATAGAGACTTTAGTTTACAAATATTAAGACTCGTTTTTAATTTATGTTGTATTATCGTTATAGGACAATTTGGTCGTGGAATTCTGAAGACTATTTCTTCGGGTATCAGCAGGCCTTTCAGCCAGCTAATGGCGGGTGTCCGAGACATCGGTTCGTTGGATAGTGACCGAGGATTTGTCAGTAGCTTGGCATCTGGAGTGACCAGTGTCGCAAATGTTGCCAATTCTGTTGTAGATGCCTTCAAAGATAGAGTTCAAGCGATATACCCAGGTAATTGGAGTTAGAAAATTATTTTTAATTTTCACCTAAAACAAAACAACTAAGAACTAAATGTTCATGTTGTTGTTGTTCAGGTACGGTGTGGTGTGGTGACGGTCACTCAGCAGCGGCGCGCTCCGGTGAGCTGGGCCTGTTCTTCTTCACCGACACCTGCTGCCGCCAGCACGACGCTTGCAAGATCTACATCCGCGCCGGTGAGACCAAGTATGGTCTCACTAATACTGGTCTATTCACACGGTAAGAAGGCATATTTTCTATTACAATCGTATCGTTGTAGGCCATAGTTGTAAATCAGCTTTTTAAATGATCTTGAAATGCCATGAGCTTGTTCCGAAAGATATTGCGTTTTGTTTATTTATGTTAGAGTTTCCCAATGGAGCGTTTTCTCAGCGCCGATCAACCTTGACCCGCGTGGTCTAGGATCGTGACTCTTAGATATACGATCCCATAAACAGATAACCGGGTCAAGTTAATTTGTTCACTATCTTCAGTGGTAGAATGGTTTATTGTAATGGTTGTTAAACTGGATATTTATGAATACGTGATACCGTTTCGGTTTAGCGTTCACAGCTTCAATACATTGTCATATAGGTCAAGTTAATATAATTTCTTCAAACTAACACCAGAAACAAAGACTTTGCCTGCGTTAATTGTGAAACAATTGAAATAAGGTACTAAAACTGGTAAATTACACCAATTTTCGACCATTGCAATGGCAGCCATGTCGCAATTTCATTTAATTCTCTAGTTATTCTTCTGTGCAAAAAAAATCTAAGGCGTATTTCTCTATATTTACGAAAACAACATATAAAAATATCTAGCTATATTGTATAAAATTACGTGACAATCGTGTACTAGGTCAACCGGCATGCAAAATTATGTGACTAGCATTTTTGGTTTTTATGAGTTAGTTCAAAAAGTTCACACGTCTGTTTCCCGCGCTTTTCCGCTGCCATTTTGATATCTGTTGCATGTCAAAGATTATGTAAGGATTACGTTAAAAAACTCATTCGTCGAAATGGTTCTTAAAATACATTTATATAGCCTTTATGGCTATGTCGTGAAATATTTGCATGATAAAAGATATTGTTTGAGGTTATTGTTGGTTTTTACATTTTGTCGCAATCATATAAATTGTCAGTTTTGCGTCACGTCATCTCAGTTTTTTATCACTTAGATTTTTATGAATTTATTATTTCCTAACTATTTTCATAATAATATCACGATTGTATATTGACAAAATATTGATCGTTGCAAAATAATTTAAATTTAAACATTCTATTACAAAATTAAAAGTAAAATGAAATGATAACATATTGTTCAATAAACTAGGGATGGGGAAAATTATTTCCGAATAAAAATACATTTATCTTTAGATATGATTTCATTAATAAAACTTGCTTTAGCTCTGATTGAATGCTCTTCTAGCATTTTGTTACCAAACCTGATTCTAGGATACATTTTTACACCTGGCACTTCTAGATCTGTTCTAATTATAAATATATATATATATATATATATATATATATATATTTAACAGTGGTAGAGCCCGCTTTAACATCTTCGCACGAATCGGCCCGGCTCGCCCGGTGAAATACCACGACCACACAGAAGACACGCGTGAAGTGGAAGCAATTCCGCGTTTCGTCTGATGAGTGTGCGTCCCGGAGGCCAAAATTAGTCCTCTTTCCCTTCCCATCCTTTTTCTTATAAGGAAAGGATGGGAAGTGGAAGTGGACTTTACGGATGAGAGGATGCATGGAAAGGGAAAATATTTTCTTTCTATGCATCCTCTCCTCCGTCGATTAAAGGTAGGCAACGCATATGCAATTGCGTATGTCTATGGGCTACGGTCGCTTCGCTATTTCAGCGATTTCAGGTGACCGCTCGCTCGTTTGCCACCTTACGATATAAAAAAAAAAGATAAAAGTATGCACCAAATCATTTCCATTATTTAAGTAATTGATACTTTATGGGATGTAATTCCTTGTGTTTTTAAGATTAAAATCCCCTTTTGAAATATATTCTTGTCTCTGTTATTTTCAACGATAATAACAGGGACGATGATGTTTTATACAGAGATTTTCGTCTCACAAACCAGCGATACATCAATTACATAAGTTTAGTTGACAGGTAATTACGTCTTCGCGTTGTATGGATCCCTTGTAATTAGATGTCACAGCTTCACAGATTTCTGTTACGTCATCACAACGTTTATTGACCTCGTTGTCAGTTTCAATCACGAAAGATTACACTTTCTAAATTTGCTCTGAATTATATTCATTGATATTGTATTCTTCTATTCTTGTTTACGATAGTTCATTATGCATACATCGACGTAATATCTAACCTTAAAAGATATATAACCTTTATTCCTTATTAGCTGTCGCCCGCGACTCCGTTTGCGCGGAATTAGAAAAAAACTTAATTAGTAGCCTATGTGTTCTTACAGACTATGTTCTACATCTTTGGCAAATTTCAGAGAGATCCTCGAAGTTGTTCTGGAGATACCTTCAAATAAATAACCATCCATTCGTCCAAAACATTCGTATTTATAATATTAAAGATTGCCTGCATTTTTTTAGCATATACAAAAGTTACCAGTTTTTGCAGTAACTAGTAACATTGGGAGATAAGAATCTAAATCGGATTTACCTTTAAACCCATTTATTCCAAGTGGTATAAGCAGTGGGTGTAGCACGAATATTTTCGACAAGCGCCTTCGTATCGTCATCCTCAAGTATGTCCGATCCCGATAGGGTGCGCTGCACAAACCTTTATACAACTTTTGTCGATGATACGACGCGACGTTACGATTGCGCTTGTCACAATTATTCGCGCTTCTCCCACAGATAGTAAATTCAACTCTATATTCCCTCTAATTGTATATCTGAAAGACATTACATATTAAAATTATCACCATTATGTCAATATGCCGCAAGACAGTTTCAACATGCTCTTCATCGTCAATAAGCATCTTTCAATGACCACTTGGCACCAATAGTATAGCACCACAATGCGACTCTACACCAAATATTTTGCAACTTCTTGAACAACAGATCATTCTTGTCATCGGTATTAGGCAATTTTGTTTCGTGTTTTCTAAAGAAACGTAAACGCAAGGAATAAGGATTTATTTTGTTTAAGTCTGTAGATTATTTACAGATAAAGTATATCGAATTAGTTTATGGTTTGAAGTAGAGCTTGCAATTTGTTTGTGGCGAATAATGTTGTTATTAGATAACCAGCAAGAGCATGGCATTGCGTAAGCGAGTCGAGATTGTCGCACTGAGGCGCAGAGTGAAAGTTACACGTGCCGCTTACCTACGACGAATTTAATGAAACGATCCTTTATTGTTTTGGATATAATGTAACACTAAAAATGTTCGCTGAAGCAGCATTTATGGAAAAACAATCTCAAGCATTTGTACTTTTAACTCAGAGGAGTTGATAGTGATTAGGAATTGATATTAAATTACGTGCTCATTTTTCTACACCCATATTGACGTTTACTAATATCTTATGGTCTAAAGAATACGAAATATTCCTTGTAACCTTCGTAATCACACTTTCAACCATAAAATAATCTATCGTATTATGGTTTAAAGTCTTTCCCAAAGTGGGCGATGACGCCCCCTTGTTGGCGCCGCAGGTCTCGAGTTGCGGGTTATAGTAAAAGTTTCGTTTAGAATTCTCCGTTAATATACATATATAGCTCACAATAATTTATTAATTTAATTTGAAGTTATAGTGGTTTTTAAATATGTGAAAATATGGGGGCGCTAAAAATATATTTATTCTCAAAGTGGGCAGTAGACAAAATAAGTTTTCGAACCACTGGTTTAAAGTGTCGAGTTATGTCCTCGTTTCAAATTCGGTGCAACGCAACAATTAAATCAGATGGTATTTCGCGAAATACAGTTTCAAGTTAGTTTAGTAAAAATATGTAACACAGTCAAACAACTAAATTATACGAACATGAAGAATATTGTTTGTGCGAATCACTTTAGTCGTATGAAGGCGGGCACTGCGAGTTAACTAGCGTGTCAGGCGCAGTCATGTTTATCTTGGTAATTTGGTAAAAAAATCATCTAAACTGTTTAAGATAAACAAATAAAAATAACTTGTTTCAAATCAATTACCTTAAAATAAATTGATATGTAACTACTAGTTCTATCAGGACTAGATTAGCTATAACTACTAAAAACGCCATTGACATTCAATGTGTCTTAATTTTCGACTTCGTATCGTATTTTATTACTAGCTGTCGCCCGCCACTCCGTCCGCGCGAAATTGAAAATAAAACTTAATTAGTAGCCCATGTGTTCTCGAGGCTATTAAAATTATTATGCCAA